TTCATGTATACAAAGTTCTATGGTAGGGAAATCAGAGTGAAAGAAAAAAAATAATACTTCCAGAGACTTGTGCGAGGGTCCTCGAGGGTAAGAGTAAATAACTAGAGAACATGGTGTAAAACTTGTCACTAAAACTATGCTGATCAGGTAAATCTAGAGGGGCGATAATACAAAAGATATATGGGGAAAATGAAATTGCCACTATTCGAGTTTCGGATACTCATTAGGATCTTTCAAAGCTCGAGAACAGGCTGGACACACCGAGTTGATTTTCAACCATTGACTGATACAGTGATAGTGATATTCCTTGGTGCATGTGTCGCAAGTTACCGTCTCGCAGCTTGATTCTACTATTTCCGTACAAATGAGACACCCGTCTTCTTCTTCTGAATCCTAAAAAAATGTGTTAAGTATAAAGGTAGCATCCTTACCTCTTGTTCTCTGGCATCCCCCTTTTCGTGTATCTTGTATTCTTGCATTTTCTGCATTACTTTATCAGAGAAAGGCATTGGAATGCTTGGAATTTCGAGGAGTCCATCAATGACATTCAGTTTTAGCATTTCGGTGTTCTCCGTGATAATACTATCGATCAGATCAAGTGTCTCTTCGTAATCTTTCAACTGCTTTTCTGCAGTCTTTCTCTCCTTATGATTGGCTTTCGTCGTTTTGTACCATTCGACGATCTCGCGAGCAGAAGCACGAAGTTTTAGAATGTCATATTCGGCTGCGAATTTTTGCATCAATTGAAGTTGTTTTAGGGCCTTCAGGGAAAGTGGTATTGGCGTTGAAGGAGATGGAAGCTCTGACCAAGGAGATGTAGTCGAGCTCGAAGGCATGCTGGTAGTAAGATTACGTTCAATGGATTCTGATTCAGGTTCAGATTCTGGATCCCAATCACATTCAGTATCTGGTGTAGATAGAATAGATGGTCTCTCACTTTCGCGGAGTATCTCAAGTTCTCGCTGGTTGTCTTGGAGAAGGCGGGTTGACGTTGCACACATTTCTTCAGACTTGTTCATCTGACTCTCGCAACGAGCTTCCATTTCAGTTCGTTCATTTTGAAGAGTTTCTAACTCGTGTTTATCAGCTTTCAGTCTAGAGTTCTCCTCTCGCAAGCGAAGAATTTCGTCCATATATTGTCTGGAAATTACAACTGAACGAATTTCTGCCTTCAAGCTATATTTACCTTTTTTCCGAGTTGTGCTTTTCTTTCATTTCCTTTAGTTGCCTCTGCAATCTAGCTCGTTCCTCTTTCACCTCCTCTCTCAACAGAAGCTCTCGATCTTCATTCAACTGGGTGATACGTTCCTTGAGACTCTTGATTCGACTATCGCAAGCCACCTGCACTTCAAACGCCTCAAAACGAGAAATGGTTTCCATTCTCTCGCGAAGTTCTCCGTATTCTCGAAGATGCTGCTTGCGAGACTCTTCTAACAACAAACGAGCTTCTTCAGCCGCTTGCCTCAATTGGAGAGTCTCCTGCCACGACTGCTCGTGAGTCTCCTGTATCGCCTTCTCGAGAATAAACGCAAAATACTGTAGATCCATGTTTTTGAATGTATCGACAAGGAACTGGTGCCTGAACCTATCAAATTTTGAAATCCAGTCAAGACAAAAAATGCTTACATATTGCGTGCATCATCAGATTCAATGAACTCATCAAATGTGATGTTTTCGCGCTTCAGATGTCGTATAACTTGACGTTCCAAGTCCCACATTTGTTTTAATTCTTTATGATCGATTTGAGTCGAACCGTCCGAGTGTGCATCTGGGACGTTGGGAACAGGGACGTTCGGAGCAATCAATTCGATATGTGCACATACGAAACACTTTTCTTTTTATCTCTAAGACTGTCTTCAGTTTTTAAAGCACTTCTCAGGGACTTCTCGATTGGAGAAACGACTACATTAACTGGGACTTCGTCATCATCTGTTTCATAGTCGTCGTCGTATGTCAGTTTCCGAAGATAGATTGTACCCATTCGTATTTCAATTCTGAGAAATGGACGATAAGCATCGTAAAACTCTTGGAACTTGGAACGATCGTTGATGATCTGTAAGCAAAAAGTCAAGTATTATGGTATAAGAAATACATACCGCTTGCCAAATGCGTTGCTCGTTCTCTCCATTCCAACCACATACCAATTTGACCGCGTTGAAAAACTCGAAATCATTGACAACAGCATCCGGGAGAAGTTGAAGAATATCATCAATGTGCGGTCTGAGTGCAGTCAGAAAGCCTGAGACGCCAGTCACTGGAGTTTCGCTGCTCTTTGACGCTGAAACACTGCTGCGTCGCTCGTCAGTTGTCGCCTGACGAATCCAGCGCTTTCCACCGGATTCAATGATGTGAAGTTGTTTGATTCTTGAGTTGAACTTGGAAAAGAACTGCTTTGCTCCGTACACAAGAGTGGCCAGATAGTATCGATCTGAAACTGCTAAATCGCCTTCTTTCACAACTTCAGCAATGGCTACGAAAACTCGAACAGTGACGAATCGATTTGAGACAAAGTGAATTAGATCTCTAAAATACTAATTCATTGCAAATGCATTGCTACGGATTGCACAAACTTACGGTAGTAGTAACTCCTCAAATCGCTTGAAAAAATTCTCAACACCGTCGACTTTCGGCAAAGATTGATAGAGTTTGTATAATTCGTCATCAGATTTTTCTAGTTGTGTCTCGGGTGTCGAAACGAATTTGTATGTTAAATCCAGAACACTTCCGATGAGGACATCGAAAACGTAAAAGAATCCTTTCTCGAACCTACACACTTTTTCGAGAATAAGCCAGTGATCCGAAGGAATCGCTCCACCATACGCTTCAGTAAATATATCACGGAGTTGAACACTGTCTACTGTTGAACCAGCCCAGTAAATGCGAGTGTTCCTGCAAAATTGAAACATTGAGAAAAGGGTTATGAAGAATAGAACCACTTACATAAAATACGACTCCAGTTTCTTACAAATCGACATTAACGACAGTTTTCTATTATCGTCCATTTTGACAGAAGTTTTCACAACTTTCTCATTTTCTTCCAACATTTTTCTGAAGTCTGAATTCAATTTTCCTGCCTTCGGATACGCAGGCATATCATTCGTCCATCCAGCCCAAATATCGAAAGTTGCGTCTTCGTGCTTTTTCGCGAATCCCAACACCTGGTTGACAGCTTCTCGATGTTCATCAGAAGTTGAAGGAAGATGACCAATGCTGGAAGTGGATTGAATCAGTGGACCGGCTTCTTCCGAATCCTCAAGAACCAGAGCAACTCCAGAAGTAATGAGGTCTCCGTGCAAGTCTACGCTTGATCCTCTTCGTAGGTGTATAGTGGGCAGTGGCTCTGTCTCCACTAAGTCCATTGACGGCTCCAAAGTTATAGTTTCTTCTACGACGACAGTTGCTAGAGACACTTCACAATCAATAACTTCCTGTTCCATAGCAGTAGCTGCCTCTGCGACATCCTTCCCGTTCAAATCATCTACCTCTTTTTCAGATTGGACAATATCAGGTTTTACATCCTTCTGTTCCTTTCTCTCTGGTGACTCTTCTTGTTTCTCAGCGACGTTTGTTTTAGCACTCTTGTCTAACTTTGTTTTTTTCTTATCTTTCTTCTTATTCTGAGTCTCATCCTTCTTGGACGAGGAAGACGACGACTGTTCTTGTGGTGCTGTAATGGGAAGAGGGTTACGTGCTTGTCGTACGAGTGGTCGTTGGTTTGGATAGACGGCAGTGATCTGTTGCATAGGTCCAACGTGTAGTGGACGCATTGGTCCGGCCTGTCGATGCTGTTGCAAAGGTCCGCCTTGTAGTGGATGCATTGGGTTGGCTTGTGGATGCTGTGGCGGACGCACAACAACTGGCATCGCTTGATGACTATGGACAAAAAATGGCGGTGGTCTATTCATAACTGGGATTGCTTGAACAGGAAAAGAATTGACTTGGTACGGCGCTCCAGGATACTGAGTAACTGGAGGACCTGTGAAAGCAGGTCCCACCGAAACGTATCCTGGCGGAGGTTGCATTTTCACGAATCCATTCATCGGCGGAGGTCCCATCACTGGAGGTCCCATTATTGCCGGACCCATCATTGGATGACTCTGGTGCGGAAGTCTTCCGAATGGATGGGTCATTTGGTTTATTTGCTGATGTGGATGGGGCTGCGGATGCGGTAGCGGCGGAGGCGGAGGTGGAGGTGGTGGGGTTGATGATCGCTGTGGCGGCGGCGGAGGCGTTGGTAGACATCGTGAAGGCGGCGGTGGTGAAGAACAGCAAAAGGAAACAATCGGGGCACTATGGAATGGAACAGTGACGGGTTCGTCTTCAGGAATGTCAAATACTGAGTTTGATGAGGAAGTTCCAGCAGTATTGTGAGAGGAGTCTTCTGCCGTCTGTGATGTGTTTCGGCGCGGAGTAAACTCTTGTACTTGCCGTACCTCACCGCGCACTACAATTTCGAATGTTGGTTTTGTATCAATGGCCTCCATTTTAACCACTTCCTGTTGGTTCCGATGGATTTCCTGATGTTTGCCTTTTGGTAGATGTTCTTCGTTGTTTCGCTCTAACGAGTTACTCGAAACATATATTTCCAGTTTCACGTCGTTGTTTGCGATAGAACAGCTACTCAGTGAACCGTTGTTTTCGAATCCAAGTTGTGATTTCGAATCGGGTGAGAAGTTCGTAGTCGCACTATTCTCTTTTTCCTTTTCTTTATGCACCGTAGGCTTGGCAACCGACGCTGCATATTCAGCAAATTGCTTCTTCTCTCTTTCGAATTTTTCTTTCCGCATTCTGATGGCCTCTTCACGTTGAAGCTAAACACACACACAAATAATCAGAAGATCTAGGAAAGTGTTCTTACCCGCTCTCTTTTCAACTGTTGCTCCTTGTTGAGTTGGCGAGCTTTCTTTCGTTCTCTCTTTTTCTGTCGTTTCATGTCAGCATTTGTGAGGTTAGACGAAGTGGCGGTCACTTCGACGTCGTCGTTGTCTTTATTAGAAGGAGTAGGCGACGAATAAAGCAAAACGTCAGATGGGATGACGGAAAGAACGTCGGGAGTTTTTGAAATGATAATTTCGAGAACCGGAGACCTGGAAAAATCAGTTTAATGAATTCCATAATATTTGAAGGACTAAGGAAATAGATTGGGAAATACATAAAACGTAAAATTTAGGTCTGGTCATGACTAATGACGACACATCACGACGTTCATTTTTCGCAGGAATGGGTCACGAGTTTAATTGAAAATTTATATTCTTACCCAGAAAAATGCTTGCCTTGAATCGGCAACGCATGAATCTTTTCCGAATCCACCGAATTGCCTTCAGAATTCTCTTTTTCTTCTTCCTTCGTTTCCGGCTTCTCACACACCATATCGCGAGATTTTACCTCCTTCTTTTGATGCTCGACTTGCTCTCTTCGTTCTACTTCTGAACTTTTTGTCTTTTTCAAAACAAGACGATGTTCGATGGGGGATAGGCGAGCAATGAAGGTTCTGAAATAAAACGAATAGGTGGGACGAAGAGAGAATCTTGAGTCGGCAGGGTGCTAACGGAATACATATAAATCAAGCTGTGTAGTTAAGAGGGAAATTGGAAATGGAAGAATTTTATAAGCATAAGGGTCATAAGGGAGTTTAAATAATCACGAAGGAGGAATATATGGGAAAATTGAGAACCTCTTCATTCACATCTAACAAAGGGAAGATCGACTTTCTCGTCTCAAAAAACAAACGCCGTCTTCTTTCTTACTGCAATTTCAATATTCGTTTCTATTTATTTCGAAACGACACGGGAAGGAAAGAAGACGTAAGAAGACGTCAAAACCCAAAAAAACGAAAAGAGCATTTCAAAAAACGAGCGAAGAGCGAGATTATAAAACTGTCCCCTGCGTGTTTGCAGACTCAGTGCAAAACACCGTAATTTTTCAACTGAGTCTGCAAACACGAGGCGACAGTTTTTTTTTTCAATTCCAATAATATTTAATGTCAGAACATAAAATGCGTGGCTTTCTTTTTGTGTAAGACTTCTCGCTTACCTTTTTTTCGAAGAACTTTTGGAAGATACTCGAAAACGCGATGTTGGACTACGCGACTCCAATTCCGGGAATTTCAACGAGCCGAGAGCGGTTTTTCTGAAAAAAAAAATCAATTTGCAGGTAAAAGTAAGATGACGTCTGCTGTTTAAAGGAAAGCCGGATGAAAACCGTCTGGATACATTCTACTCACATGGGAGTATTATTACACGACACGCCTGTAGAAACACAGTCGAGCGTCTTTCTTCCATTCAATATAGCTTCTACTTCCTCTTTAACTACTCCAAGTGCGACTAAAACAGATCTAGGAGGAGTACTCATGCTCTCCGGTGCATCAAACCATTCAAGTGTAACTGGAGTCTCTCCAGGAGAGGTTTCTAAAAACGATTGCGTTCCAGATGAGTCCATTGTTGAAGGGATCGATGATTTATCAGAGAGTTCTGAAATGGGTGATGTGAGATGTGGAAAGTGCGAAAAAAACAATTAAAGAAATTAGAAATTGATATTAATAGTTGCTTCCCGGTAGAAAGTTTTGATCTCAAGATTATAGACTTACTATCCGAAACATTTCCCATGTTTTCCAAACAGTTATTTTGTTGCGATGAAGGAAAATATCTGAAAAATCGAATTTCAGATGGTCAAACTATGTGAAAGATCAGCTTACTTCAAACTTATCAAATTGGCAAAATATTCAAAGTAATACAATTTTTTACAACACAAGCCGAAGAAAACAACGGTGACGAGACCTCTCTCTGCTGAAAATTGCGAGCGCTGAAAACGAAAACTGTTTAAGGCGCATACAGTGAGAAGTTCATTGAGGTTTCGAAGCGACTACAGTACACTTTGCCAAAAATTGATTTTCTTGGTTTTTTCTTTTCTTTTCGAAGAAAACAAAGGCAACAAACCACTCTCGAATTATAATTTTAGCTCATAAAGTTATTACCACCGTTCATATTGAGATAAAAAAACAATAGAAAGGAAAGAGGTTGAATACATAAAAAGAGAATTAATGCAATGAAAAAAAAATAAAATAAAAAACAGGAAGATATGAAAAAAAACATTTAACAGAATCAACAACATTTCGTTGCCTATTTGTAAATGAGTTATAATTGAGGTGGATGAGAAGGTTGTCAGACAAAGGTGTAACGGGAATGAACTCAAGGAAGTAACGGGAATGAATGGAGGTTGAAGTAGAAGAGAGGGTCGTGGATTCAGAAAATGCGAAGAACGACTAACCGGCTTCAATATAAACATATCAGAAAAAATGTGGAAAGAGAAATTTCGGACAAAAATTATGAAGGCATCGATACAACCTTCCGATCGCGAAACGAATTCATGAAGTCAAGTGGATGCAAGATTTTTATTTCAACTGCTTTCTTAACTTCGGCTCGGCGTAAGCTGGTGAGAATGTAATCGGAATCAGGTTCTCCTGGATGGGTCAAGCCGTCGAAGTCTTCCGGGACCGGCTGCTTTGGAAGGTAGTAGCGGTTCATAAGAGGGAGGAACTGAAATAAGATATAACTACTCCATTACGCTTGTTAAAAAATGGGAGCTGTGGAAGAGAGAAACTTACGGGCGTGGCTAACGGTCCCCATAACGAAAACCACCGTAACCTAATATTTTCGGTCCTTTTTCTATATTACTATTGCTTGAAAACAAACCTGAGGGTAATATTCAGTAAACGCATTTTCGATATCCGTTAAGCTGCAACCAGGAACGAGTTCTGCCAATTTTATTCCGGGATAGTGCACTTTTCCAGCAAACTTTCCCGCGAGATTAGTAGCTTCTTTTAGCAAATCATGCACTGAATCCCTATTGACCATGGTTTTGTAAGGAAGTCTTCCAGTGAACAGTTGCTCCATTTTACGAATAATAACCTCTAAACCGCGAAAGTCCAACGGCATTCGTCTACCGATTTGAATCTCGTTAACCAGCACATCCATGACTCTCTCATATCCTTGAATGTCTTGAATACAATGAGTATTGTATGGGGAAACGATTGGAAGTGCTTTGAATTCCATGACGGTCAACGAGTACATTTCACTGTCTAACAAACGAACGTGATTTTCAAATGTTGGAACAATAGAAGTCAAGAATCGCATAATATGATCCGGCGAGTGAAATTCAGCGATTTCATGAACCACTGGAGAGGTTCCTTGTTCCGGTGGTACCAATTCTAAAAATATAGATAATAGCATGTTCTTTTTCTTGAATTTATTAACCTTCTCCGGGAGAAAACTTTACATTCATCATTTTCAACTTGGCAAGGATGATGCGCACTTCATGAATGAATACGAAATATCTCAGAGTTTTACCATTGAGCCAGACATGGATGTAGCGGAGAATAAGTTTTCGAGAATAGTCTGGTTGGGAATTGATGTCACAAGGAATCTGAAAACAATAACGACACCTGTTGAAAATTGAATAAACATTATCCATAGATTCAGAAGTTTTTTAAATATAAAACTACTAGGATTACTGTACTTACCCCCATCGGTTGGTACTTCCAGCGAACATGTGGAGGGAGATTGGCGGGAAATGTCAGCATTTGAACCATCCATTTGAAATACTCATTGGTAAACGTATTCACCTTATCAAGCATACTTTTTTGCATGTTTGGAAACATGTTCTGTAATATTAGGTTGATGCAAAAATTTCTTCCGATTTTGAATGGTCAACTTTGAGAATCCATATCTTGTCAGTGGGACGGTTTTTCTTGAAGGATGTTTTTTGTTGGATAGGGTATTTCATGGACTTGTTATATACACTTTGCCTCTCTCCTACTACTTGTCGTTCGCGAGCATGCCGCTTTTTTTCGACCTACACCGTCTACACTTTCGAAACGGCATTTTATTTTTATCCCTTCCTGGTTTTATAAACTCTGATATCCATCAGAAAACAAAAGAAATAGATGAAGGAATATCTCCTGTTGTTCCTACCATCAAACACTGGACCGACCAATTTGAAGCCGAACATTTTGAAGTCAAATACGAAACTCGGTCCCGAAGTTGGAGTTGGACCTATTAAAGACTACTGTTGAAGCCGGTCCGTTTCAAACCACCCGTAAAATGTCAAAGGCATTGTCCATTAGTCAACCAAGTATTGTGCCAGGATTGAAGTCTCTTGGCAACTTCAAGAACTGAGTCGAGTCGTACCCAATGCTTTGAAGAAATATGGTATGGATCGCCGTGTGCATGTTTCTCCTATCATTTCTTCGCACGTTCAGTTGGGTGGATGATCTAATAACCGTATACGAGAAGTGGGCAAGTTACTCTTTAAAGGTGGGGGGACAGGAGATTTTTCGTAGTTTTTTTGTAGCTAGAGTATGCATTCTACCGTCACGGTGTACAACGCTTAATGTCACTCTGCGTACAGCTGTCGTCCTCGCCTTTATGTATGCAATCGGGCGTCCGCTTTCTCTTTTCCCGCGTGGCTCAGTCGGTAGCGGCGCCGCACCCTCAATCATCGCCTTCACAAGTTCAACTCCTCGAGGGGCATCTTTGAACGGAATTTCGAGAACATTGTTTTTTTCATGTCCCCCCACCTTTAACGTACGGGAGGGTCAGTTAATTGACAAAGGAGAGCTAGCTCCGGACGTCCTGGAACCTAATTTTCCTCTAAAAATGGGGATGCTATGTCTTTGGTGGTCTGTCAAAGAAGTGGAGACTGTGAATTTTTAGATAAATGCACAAATATAATTGCCACAATACCTAATTCATAATCAAATAAATTGAATCTGGCAGTCCAATCTAAACAAGGAGAAAAGGTGAATGGTTCTTCTAGCGCGACAATGCGAGACCACCTGTGACTAGACGTATCAGCCAAAAATTCATGTCGTTTGGCTGGACTATTCTTTTGCACCCTCCGTATTTTTCGGACCTTTCCCTTTTGGATAAATAGTTGCTTGGGGCTCTTACTCGTCATCTTGATAGAAAATACTTCAATTGAAAAGATGACACAAAAAAGATGTTGACCCACTTTTTCATTCGCAGCTCTCGTCGTTCTGGGCCGATGGAATCAAGGAATTACCGGAGCGTTGCCAGACTACTATTGATGCTTATGAACATTGCTTCCATGAATCTAGCCCCATCTGCTTTGAGAAAATTTTGATCAAAAATTTTGCCAAAATCGGAAGAAACTATGGCGTCAACCTAATAGAAGGCCCGGTTTACAGTCACACAATTTACCACAGGCTCTCATACAGAAAGCCACCTTATTCGCACATTTTGAGCTCAATTATCTCGGTTCCTATGAGAGATATATCAAAAATATGTCAACTGAAAAAAACGTGTTTCATAATATCACCAACATTTTATCGAACAAAATTTGATATTTTTCATGGCAACCGAAATAATTGAGCTCAAAGCGAAAGTATATTGTAGCCTTCTATTAGAGAAAATACGGTATCGATAAACTGACCCCGACGTAGAGCATATAGAGTTTGTAAAAGTCCTGTCCGATATCACTTTCGAAGAAGTCCTGAAGCTCTGGAAACATTTCGTAGATTTGGGGAGAGATGACATATCCGCGTTCTGGCCATTTTTTACTTTTCACAAAAACCACATGGTCTCCAACTTTTGGAAGAGCTCCATCGAGCTGAAAAACGAAGATACAGTGGAAATGTTTGAAAACGCAGTTGAACTATTTTGACTTACTCTTTTTGGGCAAGCATCACACAAGTCGCTGATAACCGTCTCGTAAGTACAAAAGTCAGTCTGGAAGTCAACGATTTCGAGATATTTATGCGTTGGGATGATTTTAATCAGAATATATTCCACCAGTTTTTTAATATGTGGATCTGGATTGGTCCTGACTCTGGCTTGGAAGTCGTAAAACTCTTCACGAACTTTCTCCAATTTTGAAAGTTCTAGTCGATTGGGTTTGTCGTGTTCCGGAATCTGAAATTATTATACTTTATTAGACTTTCCCAAAATTAGACTTTCCCAAAAATTATTAGACTTTCCCAAAAAAGATATTTCAAAACAAGAAGACTACAAAAACTTATCTCATGGTCTCCAATCAACAAACGAATATCAGGAGTCAGACAGTACAGAAGAATGAGTTTGAAGATTTCGAATGGATACGGTGGTCGAGGGGATCTTCCGAATTTCTTGACGATTTTGGTGAAAAACGTTATCACTTCTCTATCCATTCCATAATCAACTCGTTCATCAAATCTTACTGTAGCCACTTGCTAAAAATTGATTTTGTGGGAAAGAAAGGAGTTGTCAGACGACTTACAGATGGAGAGTAGAATTCGCTTATAAGCGATTTCAGGAATTCTTGCTTTGCGTTTCGTCTCACTGTTCTCTGGGTTGCGGTGCAGCTGAAAGCAGTTTTTGTGAATAGGATAGGGCAGGTTTGGATGTTATCATCATCAAAAGGAAAACTTCAAAGAGGCATTTTCACTTTACAAATACCGGATTTTTGCATTTTGAGCTCAATTGTCTTGGTTCTATCAGAGGATATAAAAAATCTGTCAAATGATAAAATATCGGTGAGATTAGGATAAACTATATATCAGTTGAAATTCTTTTGATATATTTTTAAGGAGCAGAGATAATTAAGCTCAACGCGCACATATGGGTTGGCGTCTATCAGAACAAATATGGTATGCATTTGTTTGAAATCCTGTTAGAAATACGATATGAATTGATGGTTTTTATTTCCAAAGTCTCACAATCCTTAATTCAAAATTTAGACCCAAAAATCCAAGGATTGGCTAACTTTTAGAACTACATAATTCAGAAAAAATGAAGCAAGAACCCATTCAAACAATTAGGATCTGAAACATTTTCGATAGTGATAATCACGAACCATGGCGCTTTGGAAAAACAAGAAATGTTTTGAATAATAGAGTATTCCAACTATTATGCTAGAAACCAGCATACTGTAAGCGCTAGTAGCTACACAGGTAAAAGGGCACCGCTTAAAAATTGTGGAATAACAGCTGAAGAGGCGCAAACTGGTGAATGACTGCTAGTTGGCAGCCGAAAAAGAACAGACGGGCCATTGACGAACTGTCGACGGACCATTGGAACCCGATTGGAAAATGGACCCCCTAGATTATATAATAATAATAGAACATGATTAGTAAAATGAAGAATAACTGATGTACTAACTGTTTAATGAAGAAAGAAAACTTTTAAACTATCATCCGATCCAAACTCACTTTAGTCGACTATGACCCTTTCGTTTCATTTTCTTTGTAGACATTTCAACCGGCTGGTAATCTGAAAAGTATAAATTTAGAAAAAAACACAAAACACAAAAAGCAAAAAAAAACAACATCACGATATCGAAACTGAACCGAGGGAACAGAAATCTCACAGAAATGGTGTTAAAACAATTTTGAGAAGTGTTTCATTATGCACAAATTGTGATTGAATGGTTCAGAAAATGTACAAGACTTTGAAAAGATCTGAGAAATAGACAAAGAAAAAAAATCTATGACAGCGGATGAGAACAAATTTACAATTGTAATTAAAGACGACCATTTAGAGATCATATCTCATAGTCAGGGTTATTATAGACAGATACACTTGCAGTTAATATGTTAAATGATAAGATAGAGGCTAAGTGAGGATTTGGTTACAGTAAAATACAAAACAAGGAGTTCAATAGGTGAGCGTTGAGTACCAATCAGAACCAGCCTGGTAAGTTTGACTTGTATTTCGGAGCCCGATCCCCGAGCCATTGATGTTCCTCCATTTTCTGAAATGAGAGCTTTAATTACAGATATCAGGAAATGAAAAAAAAGCTTTCGGTTTCAAAAAGTCTGCTTATCCTTCCATCAGTTTCCCAGCTAACCTTTTCCAATTCATATCCCATCTGGTGCATTCTCTCTTCAGTCTCTACCGTGAATGGAGGTGGATACATTGGTGGATTCACTGAGACACCTTCTTGAAAAAAGTAGAGCGGAATGCCGGCTTTTATACGAGCAATCAAACTTTCGATTTCAATTTGGTATTGCTTCTTGGCACGACAAGCTATATCCAAATGTTCATGTGCTTCTCGAACGGCATTCATCTCATGTTCCAATTCTTTATACGCCATGAACCGTTTTTTAGCGTAGCTATAATTCTTTTCATCCTTTCTCGCCGTTTCCAAAGCTCGAGTTAAATCTTCTATTCTCTGTACAGAGCTCTTGGTTGATCCAGCGGCATGATCTTCATAAATCTGCTTCAATTCCATCGCAAAGTTGGCCTTAGATCGAAGTTCTTCCATTTCCTTCAACTTTTCTTCAACTTCATTCTTTTCTGTTTCCATTTTAGTGAACTGTTGTTTCATATCAGCGATTTTATCATCGGTGAACTTTTCTTTTGCTTCATATAGTTTGACCTTTGATTCCATCTCGATAATCTGAATACGAAGTCCAAGAACAGTTTGGTGGAGTCGGATATCATTCCTGAGATCCAGACTCTCATGATTATTCTGATTCTCTTTTTCTTCTAGGTTCCGTTTCTTGAGTTCCTGATTTTCATCCTTGAGTTCCTGGTTTTCTTCAATCAAAGTTTGCATCCTAGATCTCATATTTCCTAGTTCTTGTCGGAGTTCTTCCATTTCAGCGTCTTTCGTTTTGATGACGTTGCTGAACTCATCTGACATTCTGAAAAAAAGTATTAGTTTCTTTTCTAATTTTAGAAAATAGTTACTTTTTGTAGTCTTTTTCCATTTTCTGTTCAATTTTCTTCCTTTCATCTTTCAACGAATCCGTTTGTAAAATCGCTTTCTCGGTCTTCAATTTCAAAAATTCATCTTCCATCTTATTTTTCTCAGCCGTGATTCTCTTTATATCTCCCCCCAACTTCATTTTCATCTCCTTCTTTTCGTCATCCTTAGTCTCCACAGTCTTTTTGAACCTGAAATTGAAAAAAAAGAATTTCTCGGTCTCTTTCACTCCTGAAACTAACTGTTTGTTTTCAGCTCTCAACTCAGAAATAGTAGTTTGGTCTTGAACACTTTTCTTCTCCATGATGTCCATTTTCTTTTTCAACGACTTCATTTTTTCTAGATGCTCTCGCTGAACAGCGGCCATCATGTTTTCATATTGCGTATTGTGGTCTTCATTTTGATCGATGATACTCAAATTTGCTCTGAAATAGGTTACATTAAAGAATAGAATAAGATAATAAACCCTACGTTGTTGAAGATTCAGAATCATCATCATCATCATTCTCTTCTAGATTTTCGGTTCCGTTAGGATGAGATTTCGTAATTGAAAAAGTACGTCGTGATGAGCAAGAAGTGCTTCTGAAAATTCATTATTTTCGAAAGAATCATTTTTTAAATCTAACCTGGGTTTCAAGTCAGTTTTCATTTCTCGTTGAAGATTCTCTATTTCCTTCATAGCTTTTTTGTGTATATCATCGCCCAACTGACATCGCATCCTCTCCCTATCATCCATGAACCTGAATAAAAAACTTCAGATTTTCAGAAATTCGAAACTGCAGAATTTCAGATTTCTACACTTTCGAAATTTCAGAATTCCAGAACTTCAGAGTTTTAGGTTTTCAAAATTTCGAAATTGCAGAATTTCAGAATGTCAGAACTTTAAAATTTCAAAATTTCAGAATATCGATATGTCAGAATTTTAGAAATTCAGAAATTCAGAATTCCGGAACCTCAAAACTTCAGAACTTCAGAAATTTTACAATTTCAGAAATTTGATTTCCAGAAATTCAGAATTTAAAAATTTCAGATTTCAAGTTTTCAGAATTTCAGAAATTCAGAATTTCAGAATTTCAGAATTTCAGAATTTCAGAATTTCAGAATTTCAGTATTTAAAAATTTCAGAATTAAGGTTTTCAGACTTTCCAAATTTTCAGAATTTCAGATCTAAGAGTTTTTCGAAAGTACGGAATTTCAAATTTTCAGAATTTTAGATTTTTAGGCTTTCAAAATTTAAGATTTTCGAAATTTAAAAATTTCAGATTTTCAGAAATTCAGAATTTCAGAATTTCAGAATTTCAGAATTTCAGAATTTCAGTATTTAAAAATTTCAGAATTAAGGTTTTCAGACTTTCCAAATTTTCAGAATTTCAGATCTAAGAGTTTTTCGAAAGTACGGAATTTCAAATTTTCAGAATTTTAGATTTTTAGGCTTTCAAAATTTAAGATTTTCGAAATTTAAAAATTTCAAATTTTCAGAAATTCGAAATTGCAGAATTTCAGATCTACAGTGTTTTCAGAATTACAGAATTATAGAATTTCGAGATTTTACAATTTCAGAATTTTAGAATTTCAGAGTTCCAGAACTTCCGAATTTCAGACTTTCAGAATTTAGCAAATTGCAGAATTTCAGAATTTCAGAATTCCTTTATCTGAAAATCGGAGACTTTACCATTCTACTCACTCTGTTTTTGGTTTCTCATTCTCATACGCTGGCGGCATTTCCTTGGTATCATCATTTGCTTCTCTTTGATAGAATTCCGGCCTGGGTAGTGGTACTCGCTTAGCTCTTGGCTTTTTATCCGTCTTCTTTTCACGTTTATAAGTCTCCGACGGATGTTGAAGAATTCTGAACGCTCAAGATACCTTTAAAAAGCCTGCCTATGACAAGAAACTCACTCATCCCCCTCAGATGGTTCCCAGAAAGTCACTGGATTTGTGCACATTGAACGAAGCTGCTTTTCCGGAAGAAACTCAATTTTCTTCCCATTATTTTTTATACAATGCAATATCTGATTCTTCCATATTTCTGGAGTTCTTTTGCATGGAAACCCGATTTTGTTGATCTTCATCAGGGAGGCAAAACAAAAACTCTTACAATAGCCTTGTTCGTGGAGCAACAGAGCAAACTGAAAAATCGAAGATGTCTTGGTTTTGTATTTTTCTTGGGAACTCACTCGTGGGTTAGCCTTCAAGACTAGAGCAGCATTGTACTGATGTTCAGAGGGGAATGATTGTATGATTTCTTTTGGGACTTTGTCTGTTACTCCATGAGGCACATCATAATGAACTGATGAATCCTTCTTTTTCTCTGTCGCCGGCCACCCAAGACAAGACTTCATGAGTTTTTCCGTAGAATGGTTTCGTTGGAGTTCCGAACAAAACTTTGTGCAATACGGAAGTACTTGATCGGTGATCAGAACAGAGTCATAAAACGTGATCAACTCCATGAGCTTCTCTTTGTCACCTATCACTTTGTTCATTGAACTGATGAATCGGAAGAAGGCGCTGATGGCTGGAAGAACGTTCTCGCCTGTTGGACCACTGAAAATGCAGCTGGTGTATTCATTTCGAGCGGATACTGGTGCATTGACGAGCTAGAAGAAGTATATATGAGGGTGTTCTTGATTTTCAAATTTTGAGAAAGCATTGGATGACAATTTAAAAAAAGAACACAAAAAAATGGAGTAGTCAAGTTGAGTATTTCTTCTAATAGAAACCCACCCAAACCGTCCACTTTAAGCTCAATTACCTCGGTTCCTATCAAAGATATAAAACATTTGTCAACGGATAAAGTGTTTATCATAATACCACTTAAATTTTATCTAATGATAAACTTTTGATATCTCTTATAGGAAAAGAGATAATTGTGCTCAAAATGCGCGTATAGGGTGGCTTTCTATATGTGAGCCTACGGACCAGCTATGGTACATTCTTTTCCGAAGAAGCCTGGGACCCCAAACGTAGAATAGAGCCGTAGTCAGACTTACCGTAATGTCTTCTATTGTGGAGTTGTATTCACTGAGTACAAAGTTCAAGTATTCGACTGGGAAATAGGGAAAAACATCTGTTCGAGCTTCTGAAATCGCTAATAAATGTTTTTATTCTTAGCTGAAGCTTACTTTCAATATCTATTCCTCTGAGTCTGTTGATCGCCATAACAACTTCATGCACAAATACAAAGTTCTCCTCATTTCCACTTTCTTTTCTCTCCAGTCCAATGATCCGGATATACGGCTTTCCATTTTCGAATAGTTCTCGTATCCTTGGATTATTCAATTTCAACATCATATTAATTCTTTCCGGTAAATGCTGATAAACTTTCTTCATGAATTTTTCATGTTTCGCTGCTTCGTATTTCTGCAAAATTCAGTAAAGCCTATAAAATGTGTACATCTTTTAAAAACTCACATATTTCTTTAATACATCTGTAACATCTTTTTTGATATCCTCTGTTGATATTGGCATCCGAACGATCTCATACACTGGCTTTATCGTATACTCAATGTCATCTTCAGATGGACAAGTGTTATGGAAGGTAGTATTTCCAGTCAGTCCCACTTTCTGGAATATAATTTCATCTCTGAGCAATCAGCTAGACTGTCTTACTAATAGTTGAAGTATCATGTCCAGAAGACCGACAGAAACTTCGTATCTAGTTGTGAGCTGGCCTTTCTCAACGAATCCTTTCAAGAAGTACTGAAAATTAAAGTTTATGGAGACTACCGTAAAAGCTGTAATAGAAGGACCCGGAACTCTTAACTTTGAATCAATTGATCTCGGTTAAAGTCAAATATATAAAAAAATTCGTAAACTGATAACATTTTTTGGGATTTCTATTACAGGTTTTGCAATAAATTAGGATTCAAGCTATCAAAAAGGTATTTGCCAATTATTCTTAACGTACAGTATGCCCGAATAAATCCAATCGAGAAGCTTGACTACAAATGAACTCAATAGTATTAGGTTGGCGGGAAAGTCTTTGTCACTCTGTTTGTTTAATCACTGTTCTCGTATATGGAGGCTGTGTATGATATCGACTTTAGTGAATAACAAGGTGATAAGAACCTTCCATATAAACAAGTCCCCATCTCCTTCCCTGCTCCTCATCTGTAATTGAAACGATATGTTTGTTCCCACTGCTATTCACATCAGACATGTTTTGATTTACCTCTTCCTATCTCACACCACGATGAAGGATTCGGAAACTTTCTTGAAGAATGTGTACAACACACATGCCCCTCACTACAATACTATTCGCAATTGGTTCCATCGTTTCGAAAAAGATGACTTCTCGCTCGATGAAAAGGATCGCTCTGGGAGACCCCGTGAGTTGGATTTGGACAAGCTGAAGCACGCATTGCAATCGGATCCATTTCAATCTAGCCGTGAACTAGCTGTCACATTCGGAGTTCACCATAGCACAGTCCTTGAAGGTTTGAAGTCTCTTGGAATGAGAAAACTTTTTGGTCGATTCATACCTCATCACCTGACTCAAGCCAACCTTGACCGCCGAGTCGACGATTCGATTACTCTTCTCACTCTCCACGCGGGCGATCGATGGCTGGACCGGCTAATAACCGGAGATGAGAAGTGGGTCTTCTACGATAATCACCACAGGAAATCCCAGTGGGTTGGAGAAGGAGAGAGCCCACAGGATGTCCCCAAACCCGACCTTCATCCGAAAAAAGTTATGCTCTCTGTGTGGTGGGGAGTGGACGGCCCCATCTACTGGGAACTTCTGCCCGAGGGCAAAACAATAACTGGAGACCTCTACACTACTCAACTACGAAACCTCAAGAAAGCAGTCGACCGTTCGGCCCTGAAAGACAAGAAAGTGTACTATCAACATGATAACGCTCGCCCACATGTTTCGAAACAAGTGAAGCAGGAGCTGATGGGATATGGATGGAATGTTCTCCCTCACCCCCCGTATTCTCCTGATCTTGCTCCTTCCGACTATTGGTTATTTGGCGATATGACACGTGCCTTCGAAGGAAGAAGCTTCAATTCCCGTGGAGCGGTCGAAGCGGCACTCAAACAATACTTTGCCTCACGCCCGGCTGGATTCTACCGCAATGGAATCCATAAATTGAGGGAACGTTGGAGACATGTTGTTGATAATGATGGACAATATAATTAATTATTCGGTTATTTTTTCTTTGAGAAATAAACTATTGAAAAAGTGACAAAGACTTTCCCGCCAACCTAATAAACCGATAATCAGACTCTTTCATAGTTGGTGCTGCATGTGGATTATGATTGTGCATAGCTGTAGTAAGGTAATCGCGGTTTTCCTTGTCATCTTTGATAAACTGAAATCCTCGTTACTTTCTTTTCTTCCAGTGAAAAAATTTTCAAACCTGCGGGATTTCATTCAATACGACTGCAAGTTCGTTTTGAGACCATCGAGCTCGCTTCTGACTTTTCGGATAGCTGAGCACTAGATCGATGGTTATCTGAAACAATTTTTTGAATTAGTTTCTATTTTCATGTATTCGGAGGTTTTTAAAGGTTATGTACTTTGCTTTTCTTTATCAGTGATAGTTCCTCTGGAAAAATGGTTCATCACCTGGCACTCCATTCTGTTATCTATAACTTTTTTCACTGCTAAATATTGAAAAAAAGCGCCGCTTAGAATTAAAAAACTGGAATATCAAAAAGAAATTCATGGTATATTATAAATTTCAACAGCCAAAAAGACGAGCTCAGTCATCCAGAAAGTACATAGCGATAAAATAAAATAGTCGGAAGATAACAGAGAAGCATGTGATGAAGCAGAAAGTTAAAAATCAGTATCAGAATACCTTGTTTCTCGTAATGAAGACAGAAGAAATTAATCTTCAAACTAAAACTTCAACTTTCAAAAAATTGCTCTCCGACTGCACGATCGTCCAAAGAAACTAGTCAGAAAGCGTGCACCACAAATCTCGAAAAATTCTAAATTCGCTGCCAAACTTCGTTGGCTGAGTATCAAACGTACAACAAGGAGCGGAAATATCGCTCGTTGCAACGCGTTGATTAAAAATATATAGATCAAATCTGTATCCACTTTGAAATTATCAAATTTCTTCTGGCCTAAAAGTTATCTGGGGCGCGATCTTGATCAGTTGCTTTGGAACGCAATGCAACTGGGGGAAATTTCCATTATTCAGAACCAATTTAATATTTTTCAAAACCATTTTCATTGAAACCAACTAAAACTTTTGAGTTAATAAGTTGTCAGATGGAGCATGGATTACGGTAGATTTCCACTTCGCAGGGTTCGACTGTTGTGGTTTGATTTTGCACTCCAACGATAAAATCATATGGCGAAGTTTTAACCAGTTGAAAATTCTGACTTCTCGCGATTTTTCACCTCAAAGTTAATTTTTCCGGGGCCTACAACTTCATTCACGGTGTTTTTCACTACCGCTGCAGCGCGCTGCTTTCAACTTTGGAATTTTTTTTCTCGAATTCTAGCCCAAGGATTTTTTTTTCGTTCCATGAATTTTTTGTAAATTTCATGAAGAATATATAGTAAAAAAATGAATCAGATTTTTTTGTCCATTGTACTTTAAAACGTCGCAGACTGTTTCGCATTTCGGTAGTGAAAAACTCACCGTGTTCATTACGTCACTTTCTCATTAAAGCGCAACACTGCATACCACCACTGCAGTTCGGATCCTGTGCGTGGCATACGGTAGATAGCAACTAGCTTTAAGATATCTGTGCAAAACACCAAAGATCAAGGAAATTTCAAATCTCATTTTTCTATGATCTTAATTCTGCTGAATTCAATGCTTCCAATTATTCTGAAATGTCAACTATACTCAAAAATAGATAATCGAGAAACGTTAAGGGAATTGCAGAAGACGTTATGTCTAGGAACTAGAGAACATTTCATCAAGAAATAATTTGAAGGCGATGAGAATACAATCTCACATGACAACGTTGTAAAACTATAGTAATGAAATATATTATTGAGTCACAGGATTCTCTGAAAACATGATGATGGGAATGGCATTCAAAACTATGAATATTTTAGGGGAAGCAATGAGCTAGGAGAGAAACTTTTTCTGTACAAAAAACACCAACAAAGAAAAACAAAAAACATTCTAGGAATTACCATCTTGCTTATTTCATTATCACATATCCTCTAGTTTCTTATCACCTACCGTGTGAAATTTTGAAGCTTCATCTGGCTCGATTGGAGAAGAAGTCAACATCTCCTTCTGAAAAAGGAAAATAGTAGTGAGACGGGAAAGAAGAAAATGCGAGGTTCGCAGTAAGAGAAAGAGAAAGAAAAGAGAAGACGCGAGAAAACCCTGACGGTAAAAAATGACGGAGCGGATGCAAAAGGGGCGTGGCTCATTATTGAAGAGTTGCAAGAAAAGAGAGACGGACCGCCCATCCAATGAGCATGGAAGAGAGGGGCGGTCCACAGAAATGGGAGAATCGATAAGGATAAACGGAAAACTAGGTTCGGTTTATGAAGGTATATGATATATACAGGTCATGTAAGACCAAAAAAGATTTTATATATAAGCTCGAGTTTGAAATGCACTACTACATGAACCCATCAGAAAACTCTCCATGACACGGATGGTATGGAAAAATACCGTAAACACACCCTCCCTCAACTTCAACTGTGAGCTCAGTTATCTTGGTTCCCGTGAAAGATATCAAAAAACGTTCAACTAATACATTTTTTATCATACTATCACCAATGTTTTATCAGTCAATAGAATTTTAGTATCTTTCATACGAATCGAGATAATTGAGCTCAAAGTGCCCGTATAAGGTGGGCTTCTATTAGAGAAGATACGGTAAGTTTCTTCGTCCAGTATCTTTTTGTGACATTAGACTAGACCCCGACATATTCCATGATGTTGTTTCGGATTTTTGGAGTTGCCACAAATTTTTCAACATGTGATATCATGTGATTTCTAAAGTCTAGAGACAACATAGTCAACAAATACACTTTTCCATAGAAACCACTATTCGTCTCCTTTTTCCCGGGCTCTCTATTTGGGGAAATTACGAATTCGCCCTTTTTTATACACCAAAACCTATCAATTATACGACCTCCTAATCATACCCACAATCTTCTTGAACAAGTACATAAATGACCCAACGAAATATATTTTCTGCTCGACATCTGTTGGTCACAAGGCTTAATATACACCATTATTACGAATCGACAAGCGTTTTGATGGTTTAATGTATACTAGCTATTACAGTTCACGGTCTCCCACAGAACATTTCCGAACTGCGAATTAAATTTTGATCTACAGAAAAAAAGTTTGGCGCGATCACAATTACAGGACTAAAGCCACATTTTCATGATTTTTTATCTGATTTTGTAGAGATTCAAGATGGTTCAATTGATTCTTAAAAAATTAGTTAGTGGCTATAAGATCCTGTATGGCCCTTTTCCGGAAGAAAATGTTCCAAAAATGGCAAATTTTCCAGATTTTTTACAGAAAAATCGTATCTTTCAGTTTTAGACATTTTTAGAAGTTTTATAGCTCAAAAAAACTGCAATAATTTATTCTTCATTTTATATGGATGAATTTTTAATTCGTCTGACAGAACTATTTTTATAAACAAAAAACATAGCAAAAATGCGATTTCGTGCAATTTCGTGTGGTTTTTCGATTATAAAAAAAGTTCTGTTAGACGAATCTAAAATTCATCCATACAAAATGAAGAAATTATTGAGGTTTTTTTGAGCTATAAAACTTCTAGAAATGTCTAAAACTGAAAGAGGAGATACATTTTTTCTGTAAAAAATCTGGAAAATTTGCCATTTTTGGAACATTTTCTTCCGGAAAAGGGCCGTACAGGATTCTATAGCCACTAACTAATTTTTAAAGAATCAATTGAACCATCTTGAATCTCCACAAAATCAGATAAAAAATCCTGAAAATGTGGCTTTAGACCTGCAATTGTGATCGCGCCAAACTTTTTTTTTGTAGATCAAATATTAATTTGCAGTTCGGAAATGTTTTGTGGGAGACCGTGCAGTTCGGAATAGCTCACAAATTATGATCTGAGGTACTGTAATGAGAAAGGAAAACGAAAATGGATACATTCATGCCGGTATTATTCTGGTACGAAAAATCGGAGCTGTGGAGAGAAACGCGAAGGTTCCACAACGACAACTACAGTAACCTAAACATAATTTTATTCTGGTCTGATTCTACGAAGGTACTAATGCGGAGTGCCAAAGAAGGATCAAAACTCAAAAGTGAGTGTTTCCTTGAAAAGAATGGAAAGTGAGGAAGAGTGGAAAATTGAGAGGTGCATTCGGAAAAAGAGATAGTCGAAAAAGAGAAGATTGAAAGTGAAAGTGGAAGCCGTGAGCAAATTGGGAAGGCGGAAATCGGAGAGGTATAATGGGCGTGTCTGGAATTTTAACAGAGGGTATAAACTCAATGTAAAGACTACGGTGGAATAATGACGGAGCCATTTAACAACTACCATAATCCTGCAAAGAATGTCATAATTTATGACTCATAAATTTGGTTTTGAATGGAAAAAGCAAGTATGTAGACACCCCTTTGTTTCCATGTTTACTCTTTTTCCTAAAATTGAAATTTTCCGTATATAGCCGTAAATCAATCTGCCCGGGTGTTATTTTTTCCGAAACTAAATCAAAAACTGAGTTGACAAGTGGGGAGGGAATCGAGAACAGAAAATGAAGAAAGTACAATTTTTTCCGAGAAGGAGAAACCAAGAACAAGACATCTAGGGAGAGGCGAGGATTTTCGCATTTTTATGAAGCAAAAAAATGGGGGAAAAAGGAGAATAGAGAGGAACAGAGAAAGGGGATGTGATAAACATATGAATATATGCGGAAGGAAACGGAAATAGGATACAGAAAAAAAAGCAATGTTAAAAAAGAACGAGAAAATAGTAAAATAATGGAAGAACTGTCCGTTACGGTTCGTCGAGATGTCCACTGTGTATAATTTAATGGTAAGAAGTATAGGCTGGATTCATAAAGTATGTTTATTTATCGACATAATCTTACAATAAAGAAATACAAAACAGATTTTCTTACAGCAAAAATTCATAGAATTAGGAAGGTTTCCCCAAGCAGACTACCGCATTTCCGCTAATAGAAGCCCACCCAAACCCAATGTCAACTTTAAGCTCAATTATCTCGATTCCTGTGAAAGATATGACTATTTTGATAACTGATGAAACATTGCTGATATTATGACAAATAATTATTAGTTGACAAATTCTTGATATCTTTCATGGCAACCGAGATAATTGAGCTCAAAGTGCATTGGTGGCCGTTTTGGTAGTAGGCTTCAAAATTCAAAACTTTTCCAGAACGAAAAAAGCCTGGATTCTTAGAACGTCCACTGAATATGATGAACTCAAAATTTTTGAATGTTTGAACTTTTTATATTGAAGTTTGGTTAGCAACATCCATTCCGCATCTACCCCATTCCCAGGTACTTGGTTATTTTTAGTTTCAGCGTTACTTAGCAACTAGTTCCCTATGACTTCAGGGATAAGAGTTGATTAGAGGGTACTAATAACTCAACGAATTGGAGCATAAAAAGGCGTCGAGATATGTGAGTGCAGAAATAGAAAGAAGAGTAAAGATTTGGAAAATGTAAAGTTCCCTTTCCGGTAAGTAGTATCATTTAGAAGAGAAACAGAAGGAAAGTATTTCAGTTGTAAACTAAAGTTTTCCAAAGGTGAACATTTGATTCTCAGGTTCCCTTTTTTGTCTCAAAAGTTAAAAAATTTGGGCCCCTGCACCTTGAGAAAAGACGAAAAAGGAATGTATGATTATGTACCCTTTTCCTCGTCAAATAAAACCTAATAATATATTCCCGAAGATTCCGGGCCCCTGGCACCTAAAAATTTTAATCAAATGTCATGAAAGTGCTAATTCAAAAAAAGAAGAGGAAGAATTCAAGGGACACACGAGTTCGTCTGATTGTCTCTGACCTCTTTTGAGCAGATGAAAATGAGAAGAAGAAAAGCAAAGTGTACATATACGTGGGTATGTATTTTCCCCCTTCTACCCAAGCGAACGTTTCTTCTTCTTCTTCTTCTTTTCACCACCACACACATTCGGCGGCTTCCACCATTTTTCACTTTTTGGGTTGATGAGAATAAGGGGAAGACTAGGAGGACTACAGGACGTGGGGATGACAAAAAATGAGTGGAAGCGAATGAAGAAGAGCTGAAGAAAGTGGAGAAGAAGAATTGGATGGATGAAAAATGAAGAAGGGGGCGAAGAAGGGAATGGATGTGCACTATGGAACGGGGCGAGATTTGTTTTTTTTTTAGGTGTTGGCCTTAATGAAAGTGTGCTTTTGCAGTGAAGAAAAAGATAGGAGGGGGACACCCAAGATGAAAGAAAAAGGAGAAAGAAGATTCTCCTTTTGAAGATTAAGAAGTAGGAAAGCAAAAAAAGGATAAGCTGATGGAATTATAGATTTTTTTTAGACTAAACTAAAGTTAGAAAAGATATAGCATTGAACTGGGAATTGGGGGAGTCTTGATTACGGTAGCTGGACTCTTTCTGAAAAATAGTTTAGGAGAGGAGTTGGAGTATTTTCTTCCCGTAGTGAATTGTCCTAGTGGGCGTGGCTAAACTTGGAAAGACATTGTTCAATTTAAAAAGAATAGAAAAAAGTAAGGTTTCACTTTCATCAAGTTTCAGAACCTTCGCAGATTCCTATCTACCTATGGTTTTTAGCCGAATTTTTTTTATTTCAATTACTTCTGAAACGTCTCAAATTACGGGAAAAGATAACAATCTAGAAGTTAGAAGTAACAGCATCGAAATTCCTGAAAGAAACGATTTGATCTTTTGGTTTTCTGAATCAACTAAACAGATAACTGTAGCTGTAAGGAAAAACTAACCTTTGAGTTAAGTTTTTCGTCAACGCTTGGATCATGAGCATTTTCCGCAATTCCAACAAAAAAATGATTGCAAACCGTTTGGTCCGAAGACTCCTTGTTCTGAAAAATACCTTATCTCACACCTACCACTCTAATAGAAGGCCACCATATACTTTCTTTTTCAACTCAATTATCTTGATTCCTGTAAAAGATATGAAAAAATTGTTAACTGTCAAATTTTTTATCATAATATCAATAGTATTTTATCAGTTGACCACTTTTTGATATCTTCCACAGGAAATGAGATATATAGGCTCAAAATTGACTGTTTGGGGGGCGTGCTGCTTACTTCTTCGGTCATTACTGTAGTTTCAACGGGGGACTCAACTTTGGAATGTGATATCACTCGATACTAAAAAAAAACACAATGTGCAAAGCCGATATCCCATTCTTGTACCTCTACAGACGCGTTGTCAAGTTGTCTCGTCCTCCAAGATGCAATTCTTGATGCAAACGAAAACACTTTCCGTCGTTGTTGGGATAGAAACGCCAGACAAACGCCCATCGCTGTAACTAACGAAACGAATCTTGCCAGAAGAGTGTAGTCCATACTTGTAAATCCGGGCCTTNNNNGGCCCTGNCATAATTTCTTTCAGAATCGATATTTTCAAACCAACTAAATCAGATATGATAGAGCTTCACCAATTCTACAAAACGGTNTTATTTGGAATACTGTTTCTGATCTATGAACAAAGTTACAGATCATAAAGTGGCTTTTCTCGCAGGGCCCGGGCGGGGCCTGCTTTTTTTGTTCCTTTTGCTCCGTAACTCTGTTCATAGACAAGATACAGTATTCCGAATAATACCGTTTTGTAGTACTCGTGGAGCTCTATCATATCTGATTGAGTTGGTTCGAAAACATTGATTCTGAAAGAAGTTATGGCAGGGCCCGGCAAAGGCCCGGATTACAAGTATGGTGTAGTCCCTTCAATACAAAAAGAAAATGAGAAGAAAAGAGAGGAGAGGACGAAGATGAAGCGTATTACATCAATGAACGTCTTTTTTTTGAAAATGGGTGAAAGAGGAAGGAGAGTGCACAAAATGGTTCAAACCCAACCCAAATCCGCTTTTGGTGGGGATTAACTTTCCGTTTATCTTTCTATTTCTTTAGATTGTGGGCAAGTTTTCTTTTTTTTTAAACATTAGATTTGAGAGCTTTTCCGTTGAAAGTTCGTCTTCCACAAACTTCGGTACTGTTTTTTTCTGGGACGTTTTCAAAAATATTTTTCCCGCCATTTTCCGATGGAAGGCAGGTACCGCTCAGTTGAGTATCGACTCCGCAGTTCAATTTATAGCGGTATTTAAATGATAGCGTCCGAGCGCATTCACAAGACGTTCCGAAAAAAAACCGTGTCTGCCTACCAGAAAGGCAACTTTTCATTCTTCTTCTCTCCTTTTCTATTTTGTGAGCTTTTCCGTTGAAAGTTCTCCTCTCAAAAAAGTGGGTACTGTAGATTTCCGAACATTATTTTTTTAATGGGTCAACAGGTGCTTCAGTGAACAGGTGTTAATTAGCAGGTGGTAAAATGAAAGTTCCCAAAACATGAAAATGTCATTTTTGCGTCTAGCCTTCTGGAGTAGTTCTCGAATGGGAATGACAACACCTTGCACACCCAGATGTTTAATAAAATTTCAGGATACCGTATTCCCTCCACTCAAACCTTCAACTCTGATACATTATCTCGAATCCTGTGAAAGATATCAAAAATTTGTCAACTGATAAATTGTTTATCATAATATTACCAGCATTTATCAGTTGATAAGCTTTTGATATCTCTCATGAGAGCCGAGATAATTGAGCTCAAAGTGGACGTATAGGATGGGTTTCTATAAGAGGAAATACGGTATCTAGACACCTCTGAAATTGTACTGTAACATTCTCATTATCTTGTTTGGGGATAGTCTTGGAAACCATAGTCATATGCTAGCATTGACATCATTACGGTTTGTGACAAAGAACTAAAAAGTTGGAAAGATGTTATCGACCCATGATGTTTTATTCTTCCCCTGACTCCTTTGCTTCAGTTTCAGAAGACACAAACAGTGATAATGATCTATAAGTTACACCGTCTCAGTATCTTTAGGAACTTCGTCTTCAGGAAAAGGAACTAAAAGCGATGAGGTCAAGAAGCAACCAGACCATTTTCTTTTCTTTTTTTTCGATATTCGTTCTTCCCTAAAATACGTCACTTGTAGTCTACAAGCAATACGGAAATGCCTTCTTTCTTGCTTCATGATTTTAGAATTATACTCCTCAAAAATACTTTTTGAAAACAAACTTGTCACCTAGAAACAAGAGGGACAGGGCAAGCACGAAAACAAAAAGTTACACAAAAAATTGTTGATGAAGAAAAGAGTAGACATCCATATTCTGCCTTCTCTTTCTCTACTTTCCATTTCGAAACAAGAGTGACAGAAAAAGAGAGCAAAAATGTCATATGAGTCTGGGAAAACGACCGAGGGGTACTAATCATAGGTATGAAAACCAAGAGAAACCTAATCTGGCGAATAGGGTTGTATCATTTTTATGAGAATGTGCACATGAAAATGTGAGAGGAAACATTATTCTCGTACAAACCAATTGCAGCTGAGAACTAGAAACGTGGGTGGACGCGGCCGAAGGTCCCACAACGAAAACTACAGTATTACTCTCGTCCGAAATCATTGCACGTTGCGGCCGAAAATTTACTCAAAATCGCATCGTCGGTCGCACAGCGAAAAAATAAATTGATGCATGCGCCTTTAAATACCGTACCTCGGACGTTTTTTTTTTTATTTTGGGCTCTATTTGGCTGTTTTTTTCTATTTTATAAGAAAAATAAATTAAAGATTTATAAGAATTACACAAATATAGACAGAAACAAGCAAAAAAATAAGAGAAATTTGAGAAAATTCGATAAATGTTGAGGTACTGTATTAAAGGCGCGTTCAATAATTTGAAAAATACAGTAAGGTTCTCTCTGTGGGAGCTAAGCTCCGCCCACCGTTGTTTTCTCGGCCGCAACGTGCATTGATTTCGGACAAGAGTAATAACCTAAAAATATATTTCTTTTCTTGTTTTTTACAGCTTTCGCCTGTTTTTTAGGTCGCAAAATGAACATTTTTGGCAATAAAGTTGGCTGAAAAATCGAGAAAATGAAAACGGAAAATTGAAATATTTTTAGGTTACTGTGGTTGTCGTTGTGGGATCTTTGGCCACGGCCACCGGCGTTTCTCTTTCACAGCTCCGATTTTTGTACCAGCATGATATATGGAAAGTGTGGACCACCTTGTAGGACTGTTGAAGCGCAAAGTGTAAAAGAAACTCGGTAAACAGACTTCAAAGAGATAAAAGGTGATTAACATAACAAAAGATCAACTGATAAGAGAATTGATTGAGCTGTGTGGCTCACAAAGTTGAAATTAAGAGTGTGAAATAAGTTATATATTTTTTTAGGTTCTTGAAGATTCTGAAAAGATAAGATGACAGAAGAAAATTTGGAACAATAGCTTAACACCCTGAAAAACCTAATTTTCATGCCTAACCAATTCTCAAATAACGTTATTTAACAAAAATCTGTCAATACTTCAAATCCAAAAATTTTATGCACAACTGTTTAGAAATCTACCATTGATCTTCAATATTTTTAAAAAAGTAATGTCTTCTTTCGAATTTGTCATGATATGACTCATATGAGTCATTGTGAGTATGTTATCCAAAAAGACATATCTCTCTAAAAGAATCACAAAAGCTAAAAACCACAAACTCATCGTGTATCAGAGCGTAAGATTTATTAGACTTATGACAGCAGATGTTATGTGTACTTTCTCTTTCGAAAACTCGTGACAGGAGGTACTAGGCATGGCTTGCTTGTCCTGATGCATCTTTCAAATTGTGACTAACAACCGAATAAAACTACAGTATCCTAATTGGTTTTCATAGTATCGAAAAAAGATGATGATGACAAATAAACTCGATTTAAAAGTATTGGACTTTTTAATTTCAGAATCCCGAATGCTACCGTAGTTCGGTTTAAACTCAGTAACTGTAGGTGTGTAGAATGGAAAAATACGTGTTTTCAAGTCTTTTATCTTTAGTGCAATGCAGTAAAAATTCCAAAAATCAATCTGGGAGCTGATAAGGTCCCAGAGGAATCATGAATGATGTGAAAGAAACGTATGAGCTACACAAGTAAAGGGGTACTGCTGGAAAACTGGAGAATCCACTGATACCGAGGAAGGGGGTTGTCTCCGAGGAACCGGTTGCGAGGAAATCTGGACGGAGTTTACTTTGAAACTGCCGCACAGTTCAACTGCGGCACTGTAAAAGTTGAAAAATTCACATCGAAAGAAGAATAACCAACAGACAGTCGACGGACAATCGGAACCTCTTGAAAAACGGGCCTGAAAGTTTTCATTAGAAATCAGCCAGAAAACAATATTTCATCTGCCCACCACATTTTGAGCTAAATTATCTCGGTTCCTATAAGAGATATCAATATTTTGTCAATTGATAAAATGTTCACCATAATACCACCTGCATTTTATTAGTTGTCACATTTTTGATATCTTTTATGACAACCGAGATATTTGAGCTGAAAGCATGTCGTTCTGTTAGTTGGGATGAAGTGATTGATGAGCTCAGATTTTATCGTCAATAGGATGAAGAACTTTTTCTGTTATACGATCATTTTTATTGTCTATTCAAAATAATCGCGCGAGTGAACGAGTAAAAATGTCTGCGTCTCTACAGCGCCTCTACAGGTTTGGAGACTCTCTACATGTTTTTTTACTCGTTCACCCGCGCGATTATTTTGAATAGACAATAGTTGGTTGACTCTTGCAATTCGTTTTTCACAAGATGTTGCTCCAGATTGCTATAAAACAGGAAATTTTGGCCTGGTTGGCTCCATCAAATTAGAATAAAAACTTTGCCGCTCATGCATTCATAGCAAGTAAAATGGGGGTGGAAAAACAGATCTCGTTCATACTAGTGAAACTGAGGACACAAAATAAAGCTCTGAGAAGTGAAACAACAAAGACCAAAGGGCGACGTTTTTAAAAATACAGAAAAAATTATGCAGGATTGAAATGGAGGAACAATAACTCGGGAAGCAAGTTGATAAAAAGTCGGTTATCGGAAAATTTGAGAAAGAGAACACATGAATCATTAAAGGCGTCCTCCTCGCTTTGCGCTTCCACCGAATACTTGATCTGGAAAATTAAGGTTTACATAGACACATTGCCAACCTTCTCCATATTTTTCGACTTACTCGGTCCTCCACGTCGCAGAGATGCGAATCGGTCATTAATCGAGCCGTTGGGTTCCATACGATCCATTCCGTACTCCGATTGTTGTGTAGCATCGATGAGTTCCTTCTTTACCGGAGTAGCAATAGCCGTTCCCATAGGAGACAAATCTTCGTATTTTTCAACGTGTTTGTACATACTCTTTTTTGTCTTGTTCATCGCACCGAAAAATGGAACATTGTGTGGAGTTGAAGAGCATCCCCACTCCGTGATTTCTCGGTTGTCCACCCAACTGTCTCGATACTTGCTGTAGAGATTCTCAGTCTTGGCGAGAGCAAGACGCATCAGCTTTTCACGTTCAAGTCTTTGACCGGCTCGGATTTTTCTCACTTCGGCACCAAGCTTTCCTTTGGAAATAGTCTTGCTGTCTTCTGAAAAATGTTTTGATGTGTTAAATGAACGGCCAAACGACTGTACCGTTTGGTGGCCATGAAGCATTCGGTTTTTCAGTCGATTCGACGAGTGGTGGAATGATTATTGACTTTTTAATATTGTGAGTCCATTTTGGAAAGTCTTCCTTCGGAACTGGAACTGGCAATGAGTCAGCAAGCGATCTGGTGATGTTTTCATGATCATCTACAGAAGAATTGTCGAAGACCTGCATTAAAGAAGAAGTAGGGAACTACACTGGTCACAAAAAACCCTTACCTCCAGAACCTGCATCACAACTATCCGTACATTCTCCAATTGGCTCATTCCCATTTTCTTCAGATAACACGCTTTGAGCGTGTTCTTCACGACTTCCTTCAAATCGAAGAGCTCGAAACTAAGATTTGTCTTAGTATGTAGAAGCTCGAGAACGCTTTCTGCATCGAAAAGACCAAGTTCTATGATAGAACGAATATAGGCGGCAGGTATGTTGTCACCAGTGATTGGCTCTTCTGATTTGATAAGGTGGAACTTCTCAAATTCACTTCGTTGATTTTCCTGTTGTGTTCCCTGCTCCTCGTTGTCAGAAGTTTCATCAGCAGTATCGTACTTTCTCTCTTCTTCTTCCTGCTCCTTCTCAACTGTCTCCGGATAAATAACTTTGAAAACCACCTCCGGAATACGTCTCTTTTCGACGTTCAATGCGTCAATCCAAGTGCACATGGTGTACTCCACCCACCATGGCATTCCATTGAGCCGTTTCAGAATGTAAGAACTGGTTTCCTCGTCGAAATCCACATTTTGTTTGCGCATCCTGACTGATATTCCTCTCAACATTTCCTTACAATTGTTGACGATCTTCGGAGACATTTGATTGTACTCCGTCATCAATTTCAGAAGCATGTCAATGATCGATGGTGCCAACAGAACCCGTTTCTCTGGTTTAGTTCTGACCGAGCTCGTAAATTCAAAAATCATTGGCGTCTGGTTTTCGGGTGCCAGAATATCTGCAGCCAATTTGGTCAAAACTTCGACCGATTTTGTTGGGACGCGATTTGAGGTGTAGATCTCGTTCAACACAACATCGAGAAGCAGCCACGAATTGAATAGTGGCTTTTCTCCCTTGCACAACTCTATCGCCAGTTTTCCGAGATTCTCCCATTCTGTCTCACCAGTCGCTTCACACCGACAACAGCAGACGAAGCGACGGAAAACAACGGCCAGCAACGACTCGACCTTGTCAGTTTCAAATTCGTTGTGAAAGATTTTGAGGAGACGATCATGAAATAGTGTATCGACACTGCTGCATATTTGGAGAGTGAAGTCGATCATCGACGGATTTTTAATAACGCGGGCGAAAAGCTTGAGTAGAACCGTAACAGGCGACACGAGCAACAACCAGCGGAACTGAAAAATACTTTAAACAATGCAAATCTAGAATTAACTATACCTCTTTTGAGACGCTCTTCTCAACAGTGGCACAGTCTTCACAGATCAGATCGATAAGCTCAGCTAGTGTCGAATGAAAATCTACAACGATAGTTTCAAAATAAGGAGAATGGTCCACAGAATAGTATTGCCACTCTTTCACGAATTCTCTTTGGAAAGTGATTTTATTCGCCTCTGGGCAGATCATGTACAATTTGCGAAGGCAACGAAAGTAATCGACGTTAAACTCTTGTTTAGGTTGTGTAATTCCTGCTTGAAAGCAAGACATTGCGCTGAAAACAATTATGCGTTGCTAATATGCGAGCTGGCAAACTTACTCCAAAGTCAGATCATATGCATAATACTCGTAAATTTCGAAATCGAAGTCTGTTTCGAGAAAGTAGTTGATAAGTCTTTTGTCAGGAGTGTAGGATTTGTATGACTTGAACATCTGAAATATGTTTGGTTATTAGAGAATTTTCCTAAAAATTGAAAACCTTATCGATCTCCGCGAGCCATTTTTTCTGAACATCGAGCTCTTTTTGTGGTGGCAGCCCGAAGTTATTGTTATCAGTCATCGTAGCTGAAAAAGATTTCAGTTTGAAGAGTTTTTAAAGAGAAAAATATGCACTGCGCGCAGCTGCGAAATAAAAAACGCGGGTAAAACTTCATGAGAAGGTATATACAGTACGAGGTTCTCGCTACGACTATTAAGTTTCGGCAATGCTCCTTTAATACCGTATACCTCACCCAGAACTGGTGTTTTGAAAAAAGCATAGTTGCAAAATCCCAAGCCGGTCCGCTATTTTTTGAAGCTGATTTTTTTAAATCAAAAATTTAAACTTCTCCTTTCCAAAAAAACTCTTTCTTGCCAAGAAGACTGCAACTATGATTTTAAATAATTGCTACAGTACTTTTGTAAAGTCGTCACGAAATCCGACTCAAGTTTTTCTGCAATACGCCTTCTACATTGCGCGGGAAAAAATGATTTTCAGAAAATGCCGGATTATTCTTCGCAGTTTACCGGTTTCATCATCATATTTGGAGTAAAGATATTCACTGCTATTCTGAGGCCGTATGCAGGAAAGTGGAAAACCATTTTCCGATGTTTGGAAAACGGTTTTCTGAAAGTAAAATATTTTTTTCCCATTTTAAAATGGATTCTGGGATAAATGACTAAAAATTAATAAAATCACTGGGGAAATCCTTTCCAGACTTTCGGAAAACGATTTTCCAAATACCGGAAAATGGTTTTCCACTTTAGAGCATACAGCCTCTGTTTTACATCGTTTACGGATGTTGTTTTGTATTTTAGAAGTAATATTCCTTCGTCTTCGACAGTCTTAATCTTGATTATTGATCGAATCTCTTTGACAGTCTTTTTTACAGAATGTCGGATCCGCTCCTCGGTGTTCCACATAAGGTTGTCTTGAATGAATCGGAAGACACTCCGAACGTGGAGGATCCGAACTCCGCGAAGGAGAGCGATTCTAAGAAAGAAGCCCCGACGGAATCGCTTACATCATTGGTGGCACATCCAATCCAGCCACCCTTCTAGATTTCGACGGAGTTCGAGTACTTGAAGGCGGAACTTTCAGCAATGATATTGAGCGCGTAGCCAACTGCAATGAGATTACCGCCATCATTCTCTCAGCCCCAACGGTCGAAAGTCTCAGTTCCACTTCAAGATTGTTCAAACAGGTGACATTATACCCGTCAAATTTCAGTTGATTACTTTTAAATTCAGGACGAAACAATCGCTGTTCTATCTAACACTGGACCACTGAAAGATGTAGCACAAGGAGGTAGTGGAGAAGTGTTCAAGATGATCCAGGATGTCACCTCAAAGTTTCTGTCGAAGATGCCAGTTTTCGATCCTAAGTATCCAGCTCACATTATATATCAATGTGTCAAAAAAGGGACGCTTTCATTGTACGTTTTGGCTGGAACAAAGCGAGAAGGCGAAGCTATCGCCAAAGCTTTGTCTTCTGGAAAAGAAGAAGACGTGGAAAGGGTCGCTTCGGAATGCGGGACAATTGCTGTGTTAATGTGGAGACCAGTCTTGGCCGACAAAGCTGTAGTCCGAGTTCTTATATCAGGTGAGTGCTGTGGATTAATTTTTCAAATCTAGTATTCGTTTCCAGGATCATGTTCACATCTTCGCATTCAAGAATCTCTCGACAAAGCAGCGAAGTTCCTTCCATTTCTGAATGCACCGATTGTGAAGTCCATAGATGTGCTCAAAGATATTCTTGCTCCAACAACGGCGCGAAGTTCTATTCCACCTGTCGGAAAACCTCCTCATGCATCGAGGTCCATTGCACCAGTTCCTGCAGCTCGTCAGAGGATCATGACTGCGGCTGCAGTCAGAACGTCTCGTCAAGGATTTCCAAAGACGACGGTCGCACCAGCTCGAGCGCTGAAAGCTCCATTGTCATTCAGAGCTCCAGCTAAAGGACAGAAACCGCCTCTCCCAGGAAAAGCGCCCGTTTCGGCTACAACAAGCTCCAGCTCCACCCAGTCTCGTCCGAATTCTGCTCAAGGAAATGTATCAGCTCCTAAACAGTCCTCGGTAGCGCATCCGAAAAAGTCTGAACAAGCTAAACCATGGGCGATTGTGTCGAAGAAGTCTTCCAATACAGTGATTGTTCCGAAAGCTGTGCTGAAAGCTCAAGTTCAAAAAGCTCCGGTTTCGACAGCTCCAGTTTCAGAAACTCCTGTTCAGACAGTGACAGTCCTAGAAAAGGTGAAAACTGAAGTTGAATCGACTCCTGTAAAGTCACAGCGGGTACGAAATTTGTTTTTTTTTGAACTATGACAATTTATTTCTTTCAGGTAACTTCTCTTCAACAATCTGGAAACAACACAATAGTGCTCTCTGATTCACCTGTAAACAACACAATCGTGATAGGTGATTCAGACGACGACACAGTTTGCACACTGCAGCTCGGTGAAAGCACCGCAGAAATCACCGTGGATGATGATGATTCTAAAATCATTAAATCGTTTTCGAAAAATCTCGCTGTTGTGAATCTGGATGATACTGAAGAGGAATCGGAGACGATGAAACCTGTCACGATTGCAAATGAACCACAACTGGAAAGCTGTCAGACTACGCCTCATGTTGAATCAGACATGACAAAACTGTCTGGAGAATTGAACAACTTGAACATCGGAAATCAATTGAGCGAGATGGCTAACGTTTTGAGCCAGGAAGTTATCAGCGCTGCTTTGCCGATAGCAATTCGTCAAAGAATGAAAGACAGCCTCCAGAAGCTTGATCTCGATGAATCATCAATTGAATACATCCAGAAACTGAGCAGCGATTTAGTGGAAGAAGCCAAACAGGCGGCAGTGAAAATGGTGGATCTGAAGAAACTTTCCGACGGGCTCCAGACATTGCATCTCAGCAACGATACGATTGAGATGATCAAAGATCTGGCCAACATCGCTATAGAAGAGGCTCTGAAATCGTTCACTCCAGTTGAACATCGAGAAGCTGGTCTGAAGTCGAATACGCTCGGGATCATCGACGACATTGCCACTGAAGCAGTGAACGATGCATTGAAGTCGTTCACAAATACAGCTTGTAGTCCAAATGCAATCTCATCAGAGGATCAATCGAAACAAGGAAACGAAAGTCTTCCCGATGATTCGAAACTCTCGGGTGATTGGAGTATGACTTCAAGTGATCAGGCATTTGTTGAGCCTAACAAAACAGTGAATACACCGCAAAGAAGTGAAGAGCAAAGCCAAGGTTCCACTCCTACTCCAGATATTGCGAAAGAAGTTCTCCATATGCCACCAGGAAGAGGAAACCCGATCGGACTCAAGAATGGAAGATTCGCTCGTCCCTACTACTTCGATCTGGTTAAGGTACCACGCGGAGATAAGACTGTGACAGATGCGCACCTCCAAGAGTTTATGTCGAAGGTCCGATCGAGAAAGATCATATTGCCAGCGGATAACATTTCTGAGGCACAGCTTCAAGCGGTCATCCGTGGGAAGCAGACGTGGTGTGAAGACTGTAAGCCGAACGAAGTGTTTCTTTTTCAACCGTATCTTTGACTTTAGGTCATCCGTGTACAATCATCCCAACACATGGAACAGAGATATTGACGGACTTTCTCGAGAAGAACCAAAAGCAGATTGCTACAATTCATCTCACATTCGAAACTCCTTTGAAGAGAATCGAAGGCCCCCAAGACCAGATCATGAAAATCTCCTTTGATAAAATTCATTCTAACCTTTCTAGAATTATCCTGTAAATAATTATTTATTGCCTCCCATCCCCCTCGATTGCTTCATGTGAATAACTAATTATATAGTAGCTTTTAAATTTTTTCAGTGAACAACTAATGCTAATTCATATAATCCCTCGTGTATTGCTGCTCCCACCTAGCGTTTATTTTTAGCTATAGTAAATCTTTTGGAAAGCTCAATGTTTTGTTTTGATTCCCTTTTTCTATTCTTTCTTTCTCCCAATATTGAGAAAGTCTGATTTGAACTCCCTCTAAAAGTAAATGTTGCGTTGATAACCTTTTCCTTAAATATTTATACACAAAAAACATTAAAAGAAATAAAGGAATTGACAAAAATCTAATTGAGAAGTGGCTTAACGTCTTCTGAAGGGTTCGGCTCCGCTGCTTTAGATGGCGTTCGAGTTATAGGGGTTGTACTCACTGGAGTAGATTGGCGAGAGTTGAGACGTTCTAAACAATTCAACTTTCATCAGAAATTTGAAACGACTCACGAATCAAGCTGTCTCCTGCGTTCGCGTTCTCATTTTTCGTTGCCTGTACACATCCATTGATTGCATTCAATAAATCTTCCAATCGAAGCTGAAGTGTGGTAACATTAGTTTTAGCGGGACATTATCCTTGCAAACTTTGAAAAAAGAAACTTCTTTCGAAACCACCACAACTCGCTTGACGTTATCCGACGATTTGAGTGGCTCTAGGAATGGACTGCCCAAACTCTTCATGACTTTATTCAACAACTTCTTGCCAATGATTAATACTGGAACAGAAGGCTTCTTTTCTTCAACCTCTTTTTCATTCGAATTGCTGAATAAATCGATACCGATAAAAATTAAATTGTCTGAAACTAACCATAACGGAGGGGCACTGATGCTTTCATATGAGGTTTCTCCCTCTGCATTTGTCACCTCAACATCACCTTTCCAAATGACGATAAACAGATCATCAAGTGGAAGTTCTTGTCCCTTATGGAAAGTTCGAATTCTATTCAACATCAGTATTTGCTTTGCTTTCAGAATACCAATGTCTAAACTTTTCAACACTTGACACTCTTTCAGAAGATACTGTAGAATGCGTAGTTGTTGAGAAAAGGGTAATGGATAGTTCGAATCGGTTCCAGCTTCGCGACACCATCCAATAACTGCATTGTCAGCACGATCATCAATCGAAGAACGAACTTTTCTCTCGTTATTTTCGTCGATTTTTCCAAAAAGCTCTTCTAAGATGTCCTCGATTGTAATGATTCCTATCACTTTGGAACTGGAAAGAAGTAGAATTTCGAATCTTCTCTTAAATATCAAGACATACTCATAAGAAGCGTATTTCACCACACATGCAAAGTGGAAATCTCCAGTTCTCATTTGATTCAAAAGTAGTTGTGCATTCATATCGATATTCACGTATTTCGCCATGAACTTCACTTTTTTTTTGGCCTCTTTCAGCTTCTCTAACTTATCCAATACTTCTTTGACCATTGGCTCAACACTCAACTGACATGTTACCAGATTCAAATCTTTTACATTCAACAATCCAACTATAGTATTTCTGTTCTTATCATGGTATACAGGAACACGAGTATATCCCTTCTCGATCAGTGTCAATATTGTCTGGAACATAATTTTCAACAAAAAACTAAAATCAAGTATCCAATAACCGATCTATTCAATTTTTGAGACTTTGATAACATGAACACTTCTTCGATAGGTACCATCAATTCGCCAACTTTCTTGTTAGTGAATGTTGTTGCGTTTTCCAGAATGGCTGGAATCAGACATTGAAAAATTTAGGTATTTAAGATTTCATACTGACTTTTTACTTTCTCATTCGCATTTTTTGCCATATTCTGAATCATGCAGTTCTTCTCCTCTTCCGTCAGTACTTCTCGGACATCGCGTTTTAGAAATCGACCTAAAACTAGTGATACCGGGTAGGCAACTGGAAACGTAACGATGAAGATGAGATAGCTGATAAACCAGAGACCGGATGCTAAATTGAAACCAAGTTTGCTATTGCAGATCGCCTGTAAATGTATTTTAATATTGCAGATCCCATAAGCATTCTAATAGAATGACCCCTCAAATTCAAGCCAATTTATCTCGGTTCCTTTGAAAGATATCAAAAAGTGGTCAACTGACAAAACATTTTTGATATTATGATCACTATTTTGTCAGTTGATCCCTTTCGGATATCTTTCACAGTAAATGAGATAATTGAGCTCAAACTTCACAGTGAGAGCGGATCTTCTGTTATGGGTTTTACGGTAAATACTAAATCACCTACTTGTGGAATCATTTCTGCAAATACCAGACTTATCAACGCTGGTACAGCAACATTCAGAATCGATTGATTCGGTGCTCCTTTCAACATCTGTTCCACATTTGTCGTAAACAATACTGTAAAAATCGAAGAGAAGAGCGAAAAGGAGGTGACAAGATAGTTGGATCGACGACGAAGATTCAGAATTCTTCTAGCACGTTTCTGAAAGCCACCTATCATTCTCAGAATTCGGGAAATTAGAAATTCAAAAGATCAGGAATTCAGAAGATCGGAAATTTGGAAATTCAGAAGATCGAAAATTCAGAATATCGGAAATTCAGAAATTAAGAAATTCAGAAACTCGGAATTTCAACAATTCAGACCCCAAACCAACCGCCAACGCTGCATCTCCTCCATTGATCATCGTATTCAACTCAACAATTGAAAACTTCATATATCCAAGTGTCATTCCCGCAGCATACGCAGACATCAGAATACAGAAGCAACAAAGAATTATAACATCCATTCCATATTTCTGTCCGAGCACATCTACTGCTCCTATCGTTAGAAAATGCTCCGAAGTGGCGTTTCCTTTCTCATGACACAAATGATACGTTTTGGATACTTTGAATGGGAGTCCTTGAGGAAATTTTAGAATAGCAGATGAGCAAAAAGTCTCATCGACAATGGCATGTATCGTACTTATTTTTTCGTTGTTAGGAATAAATGCATCCTGGAAAAAGGGTCAAATTCAGGACAATATCTAATATGAAGACTGCTAACTGCGCACGTCGTGGCGGATGTGAAGAAAAATCCACGACCCGGAAGGTTCTTTCCGAGTACTCGGATTTTGAACTCTTCATCTGGCTTCACTCTTAACTGGACACTGTTCTGAACACCGGATAGCTTAATTGTCGGATTCGTTGATAGAGCATTGTATGATTTCCAGATGATAATAAGTATAACAAAAAAGATTATACGGAGAGCTATCATAATAGGGGGTCGATAGAGATCAATGACTGTTATGAGATGACTGGTCACTTGGATGTTGGCTGCCACATGGTAAATGTGGATCAGAGAAAAAAATAACTAAAGAGAAAAGGTTACGTAGAATTATGAAATTCTCAGAGTTTTTTTTCGGTATACTACACGGTGAATAATTCACGAAAAGCGCACAAATGATGTTTGTTGGCGCTTTTCTCGTGCAACGATAAAAATGCAAAATTCAAAACTTTTAAAAGGAATTAATTTGTTCGTGAAGCGACATAGTTAGGGATTTGAGAGTCTAGGCATCACTTTTTCTCTCAATTCTTCCCCTTCTAGGTCATTCTTTGGAGTCTCTAAATCTTACGTAGCTTGGTTCTCCTCGTTTCTCTCTGGTCGAACGTTCTCTGTCAAAATCTATGATTTTATTGGACCCTTTTCTTCTGTCATTCCCTCTGGTGTTCCTCAAGGATCAGTCTCCGGTCCCAGTGTGTGCTTTCGGTACGGTTTCGGTAAAATACCGGTAAATTTTCACCGGTAACTTACCGGTAATTTACCGGTAAAATACCGGTAAATTTTCACCGGTAAAATTACCGGTAATTTACCGGTAAATTTACCTAAAACTACAGGTAATTTCTAGGAAAAATTTCTGTTTTTTTTTCAAAATTTGGAACCGCGACGTTTTAGAACTGCGACGTTTTAGAACCGCGACATTTTTGAACCCCTTCTTCTCGCCTTGCTCTAAAACTAGAATCTCCCTTAAGATTTTTCTCTGAGTGTATTTTCCAGCGTTGTAATATCCAGTACAATTCCTATTCTGATCGTCTCTCTATCCTCAATATGTTCTCCATTCGACATCGTAGGCTAAAAGCTCAACTAATTCTTCTCTATAAATTTTTAAATGGCTCCGCCTACTTTCCTAACCTAAATGCACATGTCAAATACTCCTCCTCCCCTCGTCGCCCTATGAACTTAATTATTGTTCAGCTCTACTCCTCTGACTATTTTTCTTCAATTGTTCCCCTGTGGAACGCCATCACTTCCCAAGTTACCCGATTTCTCCTACCTTCCGAGTTTGAATCCTTAATTTCTTCCAGTATTACTCGTTATTGATATGCTCCCCTATTTTTCTTTTTTCTTTTCTCTTCTTCTACCGGTTACATTTTTCCTGTGCCAAATATCTAAATTATCCCGTTTCCCCTTCCCTACTCAGATCGGCCTCGTGAGGGGCATTTTTCTGGGTCTTTCATGTCTTGCCCTCTAATGTTTTATTACACCTGATCAATAAACAAAATTAAATTAAATTCCACGCCAATCCACCCTAAAAGTTTCCCGCCATAAATAACACGTTGAATAAAGAAGCAAAGAATTTTGTAAAATAAATGAATTTTACCCAAATCTACAGTAATCTGAGCCGAATCTGATAGATTCAAAACCTTTCTCCTCTCTCATTTTTGAGTTTTTCCAAAAAAAAATTATATCAAAATGTTCGCCAGAAAATTCTGCACAAGAGTTACCTAATTAAAAAAAGATACGATCGGTGGTATTCGAACAAGTCATCGAAAACCTCGGAAAATTGACTTTTTCAGTTGATTTTCTAAGAAATGTTTCTCCTCATTCATTTCTCAACCAAATCGGACGTTTTTAGATTCATTTGGTATGTTTCCCTTGCCTTTATAATTGTTACCTATTTTGAAATCAAAATTTTCGGCCTAGAATTTTTTAATGCTGAAAAAGCTAATTTTTCGCAGTATCGCGAAAAGCGCCAACAAATCAGAAAAAATCAAATTTCGTAAATTGTTCACCGTTGTATACAGAATTTTTTTTAAAAATTATAAATGGGTCATCTACTACCGAAAGCAAATCTGTAATAAAACGGCCCCCAAACCGTCAACTTTGAGCTAATTTATCTCAGTTCCTGTAAAAGTTATCGAAAAGTAATAAACTGACAAAATGTTTATCCAAACATCAACAAAAATTTGCTAATTGATCACTTTTCGATATCTTCCACAGGAACCTAGATAAATTGGATCAAAGTTGAAAGTTATGGGTCATCTATAAGAGTTTTACGGTAGGTTATCTAGAGCATGTATCCAATTCACAATTCGTGACTTATATCATTAGAAAGCCTACAAAATTTCCATTCTTCATACGTTTTTTGTTTTCGCAAAACGGCCGCAAGTTTCGAGAAAACATTATCTCTTTTAAAATGCCTTATTAAGTCCACATCCGATAAACTATGGTTATTCAAGAAATAATTTATCGAGTCAATGCAAGTTTATTCGCCAGATGATTCTGTTAGTATCTCCGATTCCGAATCAGAGAACCTGACGGCTTGTTTCTGTCTAGCCTTCAGATCCTTCTCTCTCAAACGTCCGACCCATCCGCCAACAGCATTTCCTCCCTTCATATTGACACCTTCTCGTTCTGCAGTTTCGTGAAGTAATTCCACAATGTATTCGTAGCGAGGAGCCGTTTGGAACTTCAAAGTTTCCATGTATGAAGAGATATCTTTCAAGGATGATGGAGCGTCTGATTTCGACTTTTTCACTAAAGTTTTTTAAAATCAAATACTGTTTAAAACTGTTTGTTAAAAGAGCGAATTCTTACAGCTTCCATTGAAGAACCCATCTTTTGCCGCTGTTATTTCATCTCGCTTTCTACAATTTTTCCACGAGAGTCCATTAACTGGGTCAAATATATCGTGTACCATGTAGAACCAACACTCGATATCATCTTTCCTTCCTTGATCCTGTCCTTTCATGCAGGCTCTGGAAGCGTAACGAAGAGTTCCAAGGAACTTTACAGATTTTCTAGGAGCCTGGAAGATTTTTAAAAAATGTTTCCGAGCAGGGTCAACCTACTCTGTGTTGTTTAGTGGCTGGGTCCAGATAACTTCGTCCAATTCCAAAATCTAACATGAAGATTGTTGGTTCTGCTGGGCCAAATCCTACGGCAAAGTTAGCAGGCTTGATGTCTCTGTGAAGATATCCAAGGTTGTGAAGGTCTTCAACCGCCTGTGTTTTAAATTTTAAATAATTTCATTCTCGCTTTCGAAAACACTCACATACAAACTCTGAATGGAAATAATGTATGGGTTTTGTTTCTCATGCAGTTTGACAGTATACTTCTTCCGAATGTCATCCAACGATGGACCAACCAGACTCATCACAATGAATTTGCACTTCAAATCATCACTTTTTCCACGATCCACAAAATCCACAAAATGATGGTTGATGTCGGTTCTTCTCAATTCTTTAACCTCTTTTACAGGAACTTTCCGTGCCTCGGTGATCGCCATCAAAACTTGCATTTCAACTTTCAAACGGAGCATCACTTTCTTTCCTTCTTCACTCTCGGTTTTCAATGCGTAATGCTTCTTCTTATCCTTTCCATTAGCATCAAACACTTTGTAGACATCTCCAAAACCTCCACTTCCCAAAAGATTCACCACTTTCCAAGTGAAATGTCCGTTTTTGATGACATCGTCTGGATTCATGATTTTGCGAACTATCTTCTTTTTAAATCTAAAAAATTGAATTAAAAAAAGGTTGTTGAAAATATGTATCCCCACTCAAAATCATCATTTCCAGAACATCGATTTCCAGTCGATTTGTCGACTCCTTGTTTTATTGCACTTTTGTATACTGCCGGATCGTTGAACTTTCCAACCCAGTCGCAAGTTGTCATATCCAGATTTTTCGATCTTCCAACCGTTTCAACAATTTCTTTGATTGCCCTATATTTGATCTACTGAATAAAATGAATGTTTTTTTAATACCTACGCATAGTCTGGTGCAGTTTCATAGGTCATAGCAGAAACCATATCAACGAGTTTTTTGAATTCAACGGGAACTTTTTGGTATGTGTTCGCTGAAATTTGTACATCTATAAAACATTTACAGATGTCACTAACGTAAAAGATGTGCTTTGAAGTTCTCCTTTTCCTTGATCATCATATTACATCTAGGTATCGATCTCCAACTTAATCCATTTTCAGGATCAAGCATCTCATAAAACATGTAAATCCAAGATTCCAAATCATCTTTTCTCGACTGTTCTTGTTCTTTGAGTGCAGCTACACTTGCGTATCGAGAAGTTCCTCCATACTTGACCTTTGGGCGAGCAGGTCGAACCTTCTTGTTGGTGGATCCAGGTTCAATGTGAACTCTTGCAAGACGGAAATCAGTGAGCATGACCTTAGTTTCTTGATCATCAAATCCAATGTTGTAGGTTGATGGTTTGATGTTTCTATTGATGTATCCAGCTTGATGCAGATATTGGATGGCTTCTAAACATTGAAGTGCCACGTTGACTGCGCATCCTGGAGTGAACGTCTTCAATACTTTCAGAACTTCATACAATTGGAGAGAATATCCAGACAAGAGGAGATACTGAAAAAATAGCAAGTCAGGATAATAATTAGATTTTAAAAATCTCACATTAGCCTGTAATTTCTCATTTCCTCCAAAATCGACACACTTGATTACTGGAATCTTGTCGGCTCCTGTGAATAGTTTTGCAGTTTCAACGACAACTTCTTGTGTGAATTGTAGCTTCCCGCGTTTCAATGGCTCCAGACGTAGAATATACTTTGCCTCTTTCTCGTCTTTGATCAAAAACTCTCCATAATTCATTGGATTGCGAAGATGTTCAACCATTGTGTAACATTTTCCATCTTTTGTTTGAAATGTGTTTTTTGGAAAATCCTTCTTATCTTTCTTCTTTGGAGCTTCATCATCTTCCTCGTCTTTTGTATCCATCTTCGATGCTGTAGATTCATTTTTAGTGCCTGCTGGTACTGCAGATGGTCTTCGAGATGGCTTCTTTTTTCCTTTTTTGGAAGCGTCTTTGGGAACTCCAGCTGACACACTCAACTGAAAAAAAACAAAGCTGCTGTATCCGCTCAAATGACCCCACCCCCTGATTCTTCCCGCGGAAATTTTTTCCTCGGAATTTATGGAGCCTCCTCACATGTAATCGTATCTACACACCAGGGGGCACTTTTTACGCTGAGCTTTTTTAGGAAATTGTTTCACACAGTTTTTTCCGTGACATTTCAAAGAATAAAGAGCCAATAAAAAATCTCTAATAGAAGGGCCCTCTGTGAATAAAAATTTCCGTAATTTTTCAATGGAAAATATTCCACTAACTCAACAAGTCAATAGAAATTTGTTGAAATTCTATTTTTCGATGAAAATCTTGCTGAATTTTGGTGAAATTGGCAGATTTTATGAATTTTGAACAAAACTTCGTCGATTTTTTTAATGAAAAATTTCGGAAAAAAACTAGCCAGAAAAATAGAAGGGCCCCCTCTAATTGAAGGGCCCTCTGGAGGTACCTTGGAACAATAGAAAGGCCGGTTCTTCTAGTACAGGTTTCACGGAAATGAAAGTAGGCTCAGTCCTTAAAAAGTAAGCTTAGAACCCTAAATTAATGTATACCTGAAAACAAAGATATCTGAAAGTCAAATTAGAAGTTACTTCAGCTGTCAAAAAGTATGCTTAGAGCTTGAAAAGACATTTACAAAATGTGGAAAAATCGCTAGAAAATTCTGAATATCTATGCAAAAAATTCCCTTTTCTGGTAATACTTGAAGTTGGTTTTCTAAGTTTTCGATTCCCAATGTTATAAAAACATTTTTTTAATGTTCATAGAACATGTGTCTCTCAACCGATTCCGGAATATTTTTACAAATTTATGAAGCTATGTTTTTCCAGTTTAGAATATTCTAAAAACTATCCCAATAATTTTTTTTATGTTCAAATTAGCCTTTAAAAGTATTAAAAAATCCCTATGAAATGCCTATTCAGGAAAAACAATTTCCACTTCTTTTTTCTGAACACTTGGTGATGTTTTTCCAGTTTCGGAAACTCCAAAAACTACCCCAAGAATCATTTGAATTTACAATCAGAAATTCCGAAAAAAAAGAAAAAGTTATTTTTTTTTGAAAACGTCAAGTATATAATAACCATCGAAACTTCATCTAACGTGCTCCCGATTAGCCTAGTGGTTAACAGGGATGAATTTGAAGGAACCGTCGTTGGTTCGAGTTCTCCCCAGAGCCTAGTGGTTTTTGTCAGAGTACAGTAATCGGGGTTAATCGTGAAAAAAATACGGGAAATGCCCCCTGGTGTGGGGATACGATCGCGTCATGTAGTCACTTACAGCAACACTGGAACCTTTTATCCCTGGACCTGACATCTGAGAGGTTCCTCCGATTCTTGACACTTCTCTAGATGTAGCCTCTTTTGTTCCTCCGTTTGGTTTCTTCCTCCCACTTCTTGGCACTTTTTTTGCGGGAGATCCTGAATTTTTAACTCAACCGTACTTTCTCTTATTGTAGCTCATTCTAACTTTTATCTTCGAGCCAATTTTTCCCCCTTCCTGTGAAAGATATCAGAACGTTGTCCAATGATGGTTTGTATATCATTATATCAGAAGTGTTTTGTCAGTGGACACGTTTTAGATATCTCTTACAGAAAATGAGATATATGAGCTCAAAGTTGAGGTGCGCTTCTATTGGAGGATATCTTTCCCTCTCTCTTACGTTTGTTTCCTAGAGTACTCATTATGTGTCGTAACTCAAACTTGATGAAGTTGACCAATTGAATGTGGTTTTTGTTAACTTTACACCAATGCAAACAGAAATAGACTCTGGGAACTTGTCGAGTGCTCACAGGATGTGTGCGGATGTGGAGGAACGAAAAAATTGGAGTATGTTTAGGTGGCACGACATAAATTTCCAACTTTTTATGCCAGCTTTCACGTTGCCAGTTGTAACAGTAGCAGCAGCAGCGGCCTCTCTGCTCTTGTTTTCCTAGCAACTGCCAATTTGATCAGTTCCATATTGCCGCCGCCTCGTGGAAAAACTTCTCCAGTCTCAAAGTTAAAAAATGAGTGAGTCGGGAATGTAGCTTGATTCGAAGATGAGCAATCAACTTCAGAAGGTAATCGTTTTTCGAAAGCTCCCCAAAAAACACGAAAACCGACCATGGCTCCCAAGGAGATGACTACAACTACCACCACCACGACTACAGGTTTATCGAAAATGTCTGGAGTTGATCTTTCGGCATCAGGAATCGATCCTTCGAACTCAACAGGCAGTTCTAATGGGTCCAACATTCAGGTGAGCGTTATTCACACTTGAAAAATCGCCCAAAACGGGACCTGTCATAGTTTCATTTAGGAAACTGACAGGGCCCGTTTTCAAATATGGGCTATTCACCTTTCAGACAAGGCTCCTCAAGTTTCAAGGAAAAAAATTCCCGGGAAAAATGAGCGGAGTCAAGGGGGCGGGGCCTAACTTTGCGCACGGTTTTTCCGTAACTACAAATGTGCAAAAAACTCAATCAGGGCTCAAATTTAGGTCCCGCCCTCCGACTCGGGCCACTTTTCCCGGTGAACATTTTCTCCGGATATTTTTTCTGTGGGTGATGCCTAATTTCAGTTTTAATTTTTTTTTTCTCTGACTCGAACTATCGGCTGAATTCAAATATAGCCCCCACCCCAATTCAAGTATAGCCCCCCAAAATGAACCACAGTAGAGCCCCCACCTCCAACAATCTAGACACTTGCAGCAGTTCAAAAAAAGCCCCCCCCCCCCAATTCAAATATAGACCCCCACTTTTAAATGGTCCATTTCAATTCAAAAAAAGCCCCCCATCCATTCAATTATAGACCCCCACTTTTGCGTAGTTTGTGGTGTGTGAAGGGTACCGTAGCCGTCATGATGCAAATTTTGAGCTGTTTTAAAAAAATTTTCTTTGATTTTTTCGGACTTTGTGTCATTTTTCACGATTTTTCCTTGTTTCTTGGGAACTTTTTCTGAAAAATAGTTTTCAGCTATGTATAGCTTATCAGAACTTCCAACATTAAAACATTCTAAAATTCAGGCTTAGGTCAAAAAATGGTGGGGACCTATTTTTGAATTGGTGGGGGTCTAAAATTGAATGGGTGTGGGGCTATTTTTGAATTGGTGGGTGGTCATATTTGAATAAAGTGGGGGGCTCAGATAAAGTTCTCTTTTTTTGGGGGGGGGGGGGGCTAATTTTGAATAGGTGGGGCTTTAATTGAAGAAGGCAGGGAGGGGTGGGGCCATATTTTAAGAATACCAGGTTCTTCAAGTATAGGCCCCCACTTTGTACTGGTGGGGGGTCATACTTTAATCAACCAATTCAACTTCAGCCCCCCACACCTCAATAGAGCCCCCACCCATTTTTGTACTGATTTGTACTGGGCTCTACTATAGTTGTTTATAAGGTGGGGGTCCTATTGAGGGGGGGGGGCTATATTTGAATTATACGGAACTTTCAATAAATTTAATTCTAGGATATCATTGATTCTTCCGGACTTCCTCCATCAGGTAGCATTGGATCATCCACAATGGAACGTGTATCCAAAATGGATGCGCCACCTGAGGAGCAACCACCAAATGTTGTTGATCAGAAAAAAGGCAAGAAAAAAAAGAAAGAGGTACCACCAGAGTTAGTCAAAAATGGTCAACGTACAACCATGGTGAAGCATTTGAGAAATCCGTGGGCGCATGGGGAATTTTTAATGAAAGACGAGACGAATAATGTGAGATAATGTGATAAATGACAGACATACATTATCAGAAGTATATTCTTCGCTTGGAGCCGGTCAAAAAGAAGAGACTACAATTCTGGCAAGAAATGTTATTGGATATGGAGCATCTGTTCAAGGGACCGAAAACGATTCGAACTGTTCGATGCCTTGACTACGGACAAATGAAATCTCTTGAATGCAATGTAAGGTGTCATTTTCTGATTTGTATTTCTGAGAACTTTTTTCCAGTACCTTCTCACATCACCGTATTCTCTGCAAATCTACGAAGTTCTGAAAGTCGTCGGAAACTTCAGTGAGGATTGTGCTTACAACGTTGGTCTTCAATGTTTAGATGTGGGATTTCAAAGTTATCTCAAATCTGAAATTCTGATTTTCCAGGCTATCCAATACCTTCACCGAAACATCAAGTCATCGGCTTTCAACATTGGATATGGAAATGAGGAAACAAAAGTTATGCTCACAGACTTTCGTCGCCCAAGATCTCATTTTGTACCTGGGGCCAGACCCAGAAAAGTCAGAGCTGCTCGTAAACAAGTTGCCTACGGTGGATCATGTCGATTTGCAAGTATTTCTGCAATGATAGATCAAGATGAAGGAAGAAAAGATGATTTGGAGTCTTGGATCTACCTGTTTTACGATTTGTTGGATCCGGTCAATGGTTTGAGTTGGAGAAAAATTCCAAGAAGTGCCATGATGTTGAAGGAAAAGGAAAAGTTTCGAGAACACTCATTACGTATGTTTATTTCCTTTGTTCAGTACTGTATCATATTTTTTGCAGCCAGCACTTACAAAAACCGACTGAGTTTAAAAAACTCGTTGACATGGTGCATTCTCTGGAATATGATAGTACTCCTGATTACGAGTAAATTTTCTTTTTTTTATAAACAGATTTTGGAATTCAAAACATTCCAGCGCACTTAAGGTAATCGTTGAAAGTGTGGGAAAAGCCAAAAAACTTGATTTGAGTAAATGCGACTGGGTCGGAAAGTTAACAAGTGAAGAAATTATTCAAAATGCTCTTGATCAATCAAAGCTAAAGTCTATTGGACATAAGTTTTCGGGAGATGATGATTTTGAGTTAGCAATATTAATTTCCTCTACAAAAATATGAAAAGTTCAATTTCAGAAACAAAAATCTTGCTCTTCCAATCATGAATTTAGGCGACGTGCTGAAAAGTGAAAAATCCACTTGGACAGTTGTGAAACGTTTGGGAAGTGGAGGTTTTGGTGCAGTGTACGAAGTATTCGAAATGAAAGATAGCAAAAAAAAGTACGCGATGAAAACTGAAGCAACTATCGGACCAATCGAGCATCTCCGTCTCAAAGTTGAATATCAGGTGATGGAAGCGATCACAAAAGCTAAAAATAACGGGAAAAAGAAGCCCTCGTTGGGATCCAGAAGGACTGCTTTCTATAGTCATTTTGTGGATCTTGTGGACCGCGGACAGAGTATTCAGCTGAGGTGCAAGTTCATTGTGATGAGTCTGGTTGGTCCATCGTTGGAAGATATTCGAAAGAAATATTCGATCAAACTTCATGAGGGAATTACTCCCTACCAAATCGCTATGCAAACTTTGGATGTAAAACTTTGTTTTTTTTTTAATATTCATGTTATTCAATTTTCTAGGCTATTGAGGATTTGCACAGTCTGGGATATATTCATCGAGACATGAAACCTGCCAACTTTGCTGTTGGCTTCGGTCCGACGGAACCAACAGTCTTCATGTTGGATTTTGGGATCGCGCGAAGTTTCCTGGACCCGAAAACCAAAAAGCACAAGGTAACAGTTATGAACCATTTTCAGAGCAACAGGAACCTTTTCCGAAAGTATTGATGTTTACAAGTAAATAGATTACTGTATTTCCTCTAATAGAAGCCTACGCAAACCGTCAAATTTGATCCTATGTATTTCATTTTTGTGAAAGACATAAAAAAAGCCTAACGAAATTTTTATTATAATGCCACCAATACTTCATCAGTTGACATTTTTTTTTAATATCTTTTTTGGGAAATGAGATACATGGGCGCAAAGATGACGGTTTGGGTTGGCTTTTATTAGAGGAAATAACGTAGTAATAAATAGGAAAACTGAAAAGTCATAAGATTATTAAAAATATCGACACTTTGGAACAATTACAGGTAGAAGGGGACTGCCGAAAAAACGGACCATCCACCTGGGCGGTGACTGTGGAAGAAGAACAGTTGAATCGCGAGCTGCTGAAGGTCCGCCTACGCACCGCTTCGACTGTCCTTCCGTGGTTTTTCAGCAACTGAGCCTCAAATTCAAATTTTTGTAGAAATGCTTCTAATAATGCATTTTTTATTACAAAAACCATCTAGGACTTTTAAGAGTGGACGTATAGGAGGTCTTCTTACAGTACCTCCAGTTTTGTGTGTTTTCGGAGTGAACGATTAGAAACTCAAAAAAATTAACTGTTCCTGTTGATTCTTATGTTTTCTTACTACAATTTTTCTTTCCCTCTGTATACAGATGAATTTTTGTTTTCTGGATGACTTTCAACCTTAACTTTCAAGTCAGTTTCCAGGGGCTCTGATGGTCTGTCGACAGTCCGTCTCTTCAGCTGTCAGTTAGCTGTTTTTCAGCAGCGCCCTTTTACCTGTGATATTTTCTTTCGTCTTGAAGTGGTGGAAACATTTTTAAATTAGAGGAGCGGAAGTTCAGACATTTTTCAATTCCTTAAAGCGCTGCTTTTGAGACAATTCTTTCTTGCAGCTACCTCGAACAAAAGTCAGATTTTTCGGAACTGCTTGGTATGCATCAAGAGATGGCATGAAAGGTAAAGATCAGGGAAGGAAAGACGATATCGAATGTTGGTATTACACGCTTCGAAACATTTTTGATCCAGAAGATGGAATACCATGGAAAGAATACAGAAAAGACGCCAAAAAGATGCTTGCAGCGAAGCAGAGGATATTCGATACAAGTGGGTGACGGTCATTTTTCAATTTTTTGAATCATTAATTTTGCAGAACATTTAACAAATGAAAAATTTCATTTCTTCGAAGGTTTCAATCTGATTCTTGTTCACATCGATGAAATGTACTTCTCCGCGTGTCCAGACTATGAACACATTCGATCTGTGATTCGAGCTGTTCTTGAACGGAAAGGTCTTCAATTTGAAGATTTGTACAAAGACGGAGTATGGGTTGGAAAGCTGAATGCAAACAGATTGAAGGCAGTCAGCAACAACATTGAAAACTTCTCAGGCCTTGGATCAGATGAACCGGACAGTGCGGCTGTATACTGATATAACTCTCTGTGTTAATATTCAGATTATTTATTATTAACATCACTAAAGAACAGTTTGGAGCCAGGTGTCAGAAAAAAAAATGAAACTCGTACGATTTTAAATACATATAACAACAAGCTGAGGTAAAACATATACTCAATTGATCCATTTGTAAAGCACACAATCACATACACAAAAAACAGTAATTAGAAAACTTGAGAAGGTGTGGAATATGCTAAAAATATGATTATGGAGACCTAAGTTCGTTAGAAAACGTTTTGAATATGAGAATCGAGTAGACCTATTAGAATACGACTACGAACTGGGACAGCTAGAGATGACGGGGATGGAGAACACATAGGATGGGAGAGAGAGGAGCTTTAGACTATCGTGACCAGCATTTGTTTTGGATTCGGAGTGACGTTCTTTTCGTTGATTTCGCCATTGCTCCGTTCCTGGAAATATATGACATGATGTGCAATTTTGTAATTAATAATTCAGTAAACATTGTATAAGAGAGCCTCCTGCAGCAGGACTACAGCATGCTGTAGCACTTCAGCAACAACAAATAGCTCCGTTTACCTAGTAGTTTTTCTAAAATTACATACCGTGAATGGAGGCTTCTGATAGTTATACGGAGATACGATTGCCGACTTTGGGGGAGTTCCATTCACTGAAGGACTTCCTTGACTATGTTTCAGTGCGTTCATATAGATCCTTTCTTGCTCAGCTTCGACAATTGGAGCATTCACATAAATTGTGTCATCTCTTGTCTGATTCTCAATCAAATCCTCCTCATGATATTGCTTTCCTTTCAAAAGGCTTGGCTTTGGTGGTAGTCGTGGTCGACTTGCTTCAATTACTGGCTTCCGAACCTAAAAAATAGAATAAATGAATAATCAGTGAATTAAAAAATTACCCTATCAACAAGAGAGCCATTGGTTTTTGGAACTGGCAACCTCGTCTTTCCGTTTATTGAGACTTTTTTAGCTCTTCTCACTCCTGGAAGTGATGAAACAGATCCAATTGGTGTGGAAGTAGCTAATGCTCCTGAATCTCGAGATCCGGCTGTTGTCTCAGCTTTTTGTAAAGAAGAACCACTCCCACTAGAAATCATAGAGCAATCGATTGTAAGTTGCGGGTCGATTCCTTCATCAAACTGAGTAGCATTTGAATCCTCATAATCCTCCTCATAATTATCATCAAAATGATCATCCGTGTAATCGTAGTCCTCGTCATCTACGCAATCCATAGGAAGTGATGCATCAACAACGTCGTCTTTGTCTATCCTCATTGTATGTGCTGCCGATGAGGAAGTATTATGTTCTTCCTGATATCCGTTTAATCCAAAACTGTCCTCACTGCTCGCCTGGCTCTCCAACGATTCCATTCTATGCAACTGCTGTTGTTGTGGTGATGAGCCTCTTCCGACGTTCATGCCTTGATCGCTGGGCTCATGCGATGCGATGATTGCGTCGCGGCGATCGGCTTCCTCGTTTTTTGAATGACTAGAACGATCAGGTTCGGGATCCAAATATTGTTGCCCTCCTGATGCAAGCCTGGGAGAAATGACACGACTTCTCGGCATTTCCGACATAATTGACTCCATCAGCAAACGATCAGAATCAGTTGTCATTTCATGATGCTTCGGTCGTTGAGTTTGTTTCAAAATTGGAGAAGTGTCCGGATGAGACCAAGCAGGCGAAGAAGTGGTTTTTTGGGACGGCGAGAAAAATCCGTTTAGACGAGGTGACACTTTCAGTTTCGGCGTTGATGAAGACGTTGGCATCTCTTCTTGAATCGATCTTGTTAACAGATCATCATCAGACTTTTGCTCAGCGCCAGTAATAATTGCATAATCTCCCTCTTCTTCCACTTCCAATGACGGTCCTGGTAGAATATCATCAGGACTCTCCAGATCTTCTGAAGTTTTCCTTGCAGCATTGTTAGTCACGTTTAGAGTAGCGTATGTTGGGGTAATCAGATTATCAATCGGTACAGTTGTTCCATCACTTCGTGTCATCGTATTCGCAGATCCGCTACTGTAATGGGTAGTGTTCTGAGTAGATGGATGGTTCGGTGGTGTCGTCATCTGATTATCTTCTGGGTGCACTGGTAGATTGAACACCTGGGCGCACATAGTCGGAGATGCGGGAATGTCGCTGAATGAAACTGGGGACAGCGCTCGAGAACTGTTAGCAGCGGTGTCCAACGTGGAATTCCATCCTCCTGTCGTCATCACACTTCCAGGATTCATTGAACCGAGGCTCCTTTCACTGTTGCTACGAGTGCCCATAACAGTTGATGTTGGAATATCCAGGTCATCGTCAACCGGCAGCACTGGCTCCACATTCTGATTTCTTTGTATCTGCTGTTGATAATGTTGTTGTTGTTGCTGCTGTTGCTGTTGATTCAAATATCTCATCTGCTGATCGTCAGTTTGGATCTGGGACTATATAATATATGATTATATGAACATATAATCTCAACGCACCATCATTTGCTGTTGTTGCATTTGGAAAATCATCTGCTGCTGCTGCTGCTGCTGCTGCTGATGTGGATCCATCTGTTGATTAAAAGACTGTGCCATCATGAATCCGTTTCGTTGAACAGCAAAATGACGTGGCAAACTGCTGGATCGTTGATCTGGAGCCGGAACTTGCATATGTTGCTGTTGAGAAGGATGAATATACTTTCCAGGAGATGCTCTGGTTGCTCGCAACGACAAAAGTCTCGGAGACGCAGTTCCGTGATATCCATGATGGGAAGTCTGCATCTGTAGTTGTGGTTCCGAAAGCATTCCACTAGCTCCTCCAACAGAATGAGACATATCTCCATATCTGTGACTGCACGGCTGATTGAGAGTATTCAAAACTTCCTTGACCGCTTTTCGAATATCTTCTCGATTCGAGTTTCGGAGAACATTGAGTTGCTGGACTGCAGCAGCATCCTGTCGAATCAATTGTTGCATGTGTGGATCCTTAGCAATTAGATGAGCAATAGCACCGAGAGTATTAGTGACGCAAGTGAACGAAGAGCTCTTTAAGAGAGTCAGCATCCTGGTGATGAGAAGGCTTCGGAGCTGGAACTATGAAGAATTTAGTAAAACATCTAAATAATGAACACTTACCTCAAGGTGACTAGAATTGGTAGCCAGATACTGAGATACATATTTCAAAATTCCAGAGGCTGAATCGACCAAAGTAGTGAATCTGGCATCCGGTGAAAGAATGTTTGCTAGCACTTTTAAACAATTCGGTGTTTCACAAATCGTCCGCTTGTTTTCTACAGAGTGTCCAGCTAAATTCCAGAGAGCTGAAAGTATTGCTGTCACATCGAAGCGGTGCGTATGAGCATAAACGGCAGCTAAGGACAGAGCATGGACCGTTGGCTGGAGAGCTTCACTCATTCCCGAGTCAGCGTTCCACGATAAGTTCCGAATCAGGCCAGCGTATACTTGAGTGATGTTAGGCGATTCTATGATAATTCTGACCACACATCGGATGAATCCATCATATGAGCAAAGCCTCCGTTTGGATAAAATCTGTCCATAAGTCAGATTGGTTAACGCATTGGCAATAAGTTTTCGTATATTCCTGTGCTCTACCGCATTCGTCTCCGGAATTCCAAATGCATGAACTTCCAGAATCAAAACTTCGGCAAGAGCTTCCACAAGTCCAAGAACAGTGGCAACTTTTCGATATTCTTCTCCAAAGGACTCTTTCACAATTGTGTGCAACGCAGCATTCAATCGATGATAATATGAATCTGGAGGTGTGATTGGTTTCCTTCGAAGATAGTATACTTGTTCACGAATACAATTTGATGCTGGTAGTGCTTTTTTCAGACGTCTTCTTCTGTAAAATTATAGATTGAAAAGATTGGAAATTCTAGACGATCAGATTAAACCTGTGGAAGTCTGGCTCGGTGGTAATTAATGAAAAAATGTTCTCATGAAGTTCTCGAAGCTTATTGTCATCTTCATCGGCGGTAACAACATCACGCTTGTGTTCGAAGTGGAGGGAGGACAGAAGAGTCGTTATACGTTCGTCGACTTCCATATTCTGAAAATTTGAGCTTACAGATTAAGAAAATGAATGATTATCAATGATTCTTAAGTTTTTTTCTCTTATTTACCATGTCTTTTCGAAATCCTTCATAAGGCTCCTCATCGTCTTCTGCGTCGCTGACGTCATGCCTTACACTCGGTCTTTTGGAAGATCCCGCTTTTAGCTGTGAGTAAATTCCACTGCTACCCGGATTAGAAGAACTGTGTATCGTCGTTTCGTTCTCATCACTACTACTAGAGCTCATCTGAAAACAATTCCCGTAATTCGAGTTGTCACTTTTGTTCAAATCTTAACGTAACGGAGATATAAACAGGTGTTTACAATGTGGCGCTTTCATCAGTTTTTGCTGTCTTCAAGGCCAAAAAACAAAAAAAATTACTATGCGGTTCGCGGTTCGAAAGTACTCGAAGGCCACATCCTATCCGTTTTCTTCCCCAAACTGAACCCTTTTCTAGAATACAGAAGAAAAAAAAGAAGAAGAAGTCAATCGGTTCGACCTTCAATATACCACACGGCGCCAATGTAAATAAGATATGAGATGGGGAGTGTATAACTATGCGGTTCCAAAAACCGGCGCAGCGCCACAAGAAAATGGTTTGGAAGGAAGACGGAACGAGCGAAGGAGGGGTTTGAACGGGGAGTAGAGGAAGAGACAAGAGGTGATGTTGCGAACGAAAAGACAACCGAATAGTTCATTGTGTAAATGCCCCTCATGGCAACCTTCCCAACAAATAGAAGCTCTTCTAGTCCATCTAGTTCTAAAACTTCCTTGCTGACATCTCAGATAGATGAAGCTGAGCTGGAGCAGAAACTGTTTCATGTCTATACCTCGGAGGTGAAGATGTGCGATGACAATGGGCAGAGTACGCAACATATAGGTGAGTCTTTTATGATGGTTCCATCTAGTAAAAGATACAAAACGGATAGTCCGTCTATTTAAAGTTTCATAAAATGAAAATAAGACAATCGATGATTCTAATCCGAAAAAAGATTTCCTATTGATTCACATAAAAAAACTAAAAAAACCGAATATCAGTCAATAGGCTAATTCAAATTTCGCGGCTAAAAAGAGAAGGGACAGGAAAGGATATAGAGATATTGTGAAAAATGGGGAGGGTGTTGAGTACCCCCTACTGTTTTCACCTCTAGGCAATAACCAATTTGGGTGCCCCAAAAGAAGACGATTGCGCGACGACGACGACCACGTCGATGGCGTAGTAGAGTCCACTTGTCAAGGATATTTGTGTTGACAGCAAACAGTGTGTGTGTGCCTGTGCTTACTGTGGTCCCAGTCATCACACAAAACTGCTTGATGTGAGAGAATAAAGGATTGAAAGGGGAAGGAAAGGTGGCAATTAACGAGGTGTGAAAATTAGATTGACAGGTTTCTATTCACAAGTTGACTGATTTTTTTTTTCGAATCCGAAGATCTTTTTATTTGCTCACAGGGGATGAATGGATGAGGCGTGAAATTCGAAAAATTTGTGCTTTCGACGTTTCTGATCGATGGATCAAGATGTTCCGAAGGAAGCATGGAATTCGGTATGAACTTTCTTCTTCGTCATCTTCGACATCGTGACCTAGTTTTCTGTGTTAGATCTCCCTTCCCTAATTATGGTTTTTTAGATACTTCAGTGGTCGCCGCCACGCCGACAAAACGAACAACTTGAGACCATTGGCGGCATTGGATACTACAAAGGTGAAAACGTCGAACTATTTAAAGGGTTTGTTAATTGAATTAGAAAATGATTGATATCTATGTTTTAACAGAGAGACGAGTTTTGCGAACCAGTCGAAAAGAATATGTTGAGGTTGATCTACGTGTACATGAGGAGATCATCAGAAGACAGGCTAGAGGAGAACGTCTAACGAATCCGTGGATAAGGGAATACGCACAAAACGTCGCCAATGAGTTGCATTCAGAGACAGTGGATGTCGAAAAGTTTTTCGATGCCAACTGGTTGTACAGATTCAAAAGGCGCTACTGCGTTGAGCTGAAGGTAGTTAAAAATACAAATATTCTGTGGAATACAAATCTCGAATTCTAGCCGAGAAATCTTGAAGATACAGTCGGAAACCTGTCACCACCAATATTATTCAAAGAAGTGGAAGAGGAAGAAGATAAGTTCAAGATTAACGAAGATGTGATGGCTCCGATGGATTCATCGGCTTCCACAGAATCACATCTACTACACATGATGCAGATTCGTCAATATTTGAACCTGATAAATGGTGAAAGTCTAGTCTTGATGGAACCGGAGCCGACGGCAAATTAGAAAACGAGAAGAAGAGTGGGAAAGGAGCTCCTATGAGTGTGATGAAACCTAACAATGACTCATTTCCTTTTTTGTTTTTTTTTAAATTTTGAGATCGAAGCGTATACTATTACAAGCGGTACTTAAAAGAATGAAGCGTTCAATAACTTTTATAATTACCGTAAAACCTCTAATAGAACGACTCCTGGCTTGTACTCTTACCCCCTTTATATTGCGGGGCCCTGTAAGTATTTCATTGGATGAAGCCGTGCGGATTCAGAATTGAAATCTTTAAAATCGTATCATATAATTCTCATAATTTAAACCAGAAACTACACTTTCGTAGTTGATAGTCATGACCGCAATGAAACTTGTGGCTCATTGAAAATACAAAGCATTTTAAGTTTTTGGTTTTTGTCCACATTCGTAGTAAATTCTTCAATAACTAGCTTTAAAACTTTTCAAAA